TGGTTTCAAATGGCAGGGAAAGAGATTTGACTGAAAAGACTAGGAAGGACTTCCTGGAGAGTGGCATAAGCTGCCTGGGAGTGTGGTGGAATCTCCTTCTCTGGAGACTTTTCCACAGAGGCTGTCTATTCGGAGTGCTTTGACTGCGCTTTCCTGCATGGCAGGGGGATGGACAGGATGGCCCTCGGGGGTCTCTTCTAGCCCTAGGATTCTATATTACGAGTAGGCAATATGGGGTCTAATGGATACACTTTTTCTCTCCCGTCCACCATCTCATCCTGAACAAAGCCAACTCTTTTGGGATCCAAATGTTTCCCATTTTTACTTTACTTTCCGTCTCCGAAAGAGAAGAGGAAGGGGAGGAAAGGGCAGGGAGGGGGCTTGGGGAGAACCCCTCCCTTCCAGTCCCCCCCCCGCCATGTCCCCCCCCCCCCAAGTTAGAAAGTTTGCCCATACCTGGTCTAACACGCCGTGGTCACCTTGGCATCTTTCAGTGATTGCGACTACTCAGTTGTCTTGGTGCAGATGATGTGTGTGTCTCGATCTGAGTGAAGCATGTTTCAGCCCATGCCAGATGCAGGGAATTGGCATTTGCTCAGCCTCTCTTCCTGAAGTGAGGAGGAGAGGTTGGGGGGCCCGGGGCTGCAGAGCCTGCCAAAAGGCACAGAAGCTCCTGCTTCTTCAATAGACCAGCTCATGAAGTGGAACAGATGGCATTGGGGGCCAGAGAGGTGGGGTGGGATGCCTCACTTCTTGATGTGCCAGCCGCACCAACTGTTTTCAGCAACAAATCAGGGTGTTTGTTATGGTATGTAGGGTAATTGTGGTGGCACAAACATTCACACTCATTGCCACCTGCCAAAGGAAGTAGGGGAAGTCAATGGCAAAATGCACCACAGCTCTCAATACTGTGGGAAGAGGAGGTGGGAGAAGGAGAGAGACTGAGAGCGAGTAGGAGGCACATATGGTATTGGATGAAAACAGCAAATGTTTGCAAGCCACAAAGCTGTTGACTTGAAAGCTTCCTGGCTGGCAGGAGCATGACACAGGGGTGAAATTAAAGATATTATGGCCTCTTTAGGCTAGCACATTTCCTGTAGCCCAAACTTCAATGGACAGAGGCCTCCTGCTTGTGAAGGTGTTGGCATAGACACACACACAACACTCTTGTGTTGAATGGTGCTAGAATAAAAGCATTGTTGTTAGAAATTGAGGCCAGAGAATCTGTTGGGCTTCATCCCTGGACTGCACAAGTCTCTTGTGTCATCAAGTCTCCAGACCTCAAGAGATACTGTGTTTCCATGAAAATAAGACACTCTGTTATATTTATTTTTCCTCCAGAAGACACACTATGGCTTATTTTCAGGGGGTGTCTTATTTTTATTAAGTACTAGCCATGCCCTGCTACGCGTTGCTGTGGCCCAGTCTAGTGATTCCTATGTTATCCTTTATTACAGTGTTTCTCAACCTGGGGGTCGGGACCCCTGGGGGGGTCATGAGGGGGTGTCAGAAGGGTTACTAAAGACAACAATATTTTCTGTTGGTCATGGGGGTTCTGTGTGGGAAGTCTGGCCCAATTGTATCATTGCTGGGGTTCAAAATGCTCATTGAGTGCAGATGAATTATAAATCCCAGTAACTACAACTCCCAAATATCAAGGTCTATTTCCTCCCAACTCCATCTGTGTTTATATTTGAGCATATGGAGCATTCGTGCCAACTTTGGCACGAATGCTCCATATGCTCTCTGGATTTAATGCTCTCTGCATTTAGGTGAACTACAACTCCAAAACTCAAGGTCAGTGCCCACCACACCCTTTCAGTATTTTCTGTTGGTGATGGGAGTTCTGTGTACCAAGTTTGGTTTAATTCCATTGTTGGTGGAGTTCAGAATGCTCTTTGATTATAGGTGAACTATAAATCCCAGCAACTACAACTCCCAAATGACAAAATCATAATTTTTTGAGTGATGGTCACTCCTTGTGTTGTGAGACGTTTTGTTGCCAAATTTGGTGTGATTTCATTCATTGGTTCTTTTGTTTTTAAGGTACTCATTATGCACAGAGCATTTTAAGATAGATGATTGATTGATAGATAGATAGATAGATAGATAGATAGATAGATAGATAGATAGATAGATAGATAGATAGATGGTACAACAATCTGCATTTGTGGGATGATCCCTCTGGGCTCAGTAGCACACTGCTTGCTGAAGCTTTCCCCCTATCCCCTGGTGTTCGTGTGGGGTGAGGAGACCCACAGACTGTTGCTGGTCAATATTGGGGAGCAGCAGCTTTACTGGTGTTTGTGTGGGGTGAGAGAGACCCATAGTACTAAGTAAAACGGCAGCCACAGCTTTACTTCTTTCCCCTGAGGTCACACAATACCTAAAGCAGAGTGTCATGCTCCTCACTTCACTGAGGAGACTTTTACTGTCACCTTCCATGTCTCCCTCTATGCCTCAGCTTGCAGCACGCACAGAACAACTGGGAGCTGACCTTGTATGTTGCATAGCCACGCCTTTCAGTATGCCTTATTTTGGGGGGTATGGTTTATATTGTGCAAATGCTTAGAAATCCTGCCATGGCTTATTTTATGAGTATGTCTTATTTTTGGGGAAACATGTCTAGCTACCCATTGAGGTCTGAAGACTAGCTACACATTGAGCTCTGAAGACTTGATGACACAAGACTTGTGCAGTCAAGGGATGAAACCCAACAGATTATCTGGCCTCGCTTTGTTAAAGTGAGGGATTCCTCCTCCCACATTCCTTTGCATAGAATCATAGAATCATACAGTTGGAAGAGACCTCGTGGGCCATCTAGTCCAATCCCCTGCCAAGAAGCATTCAAAGCACTCCCAACAGATGGCCATCCAGCCTCTGTTTAAAAGCCTCCGTAGAAGGAGCATCCACCACACTTCGGGGGAAAGAGTTCCACTGCTGAACAGCTCTCACAGTAAAGAAGTTCTTTGTAATGTTCAGGTGGAATCTCCTTTCCTGTAGTTTGAAACCATTGCTCCGCATCCTAGTCTATAGGGCTGCAGAAAACAAGTTTGCTCACTCCTCCCTATGACTTCCCCTCACATATTTATACATGGCTATCATTCTATCATGTTTACCAGAAAGGGCTTTGTCTTTGGTCCTCCATGTTAATCACTGTCCTCCCCCTTTGAGGATGTAGCAATGGAATGCCTTTGAGGTAACTTCCTTTTTAAAGGTATTTTGTTGCTCTGGGCTAGGCCATGTGGCCTTTTGCCATTTTCCATCTCTTCTGCCTTTTTCCTCCTTTTGGTGAGGATGCACATTTTGCCTCTCTCTCTAGGCAAAATGTAGCTGCATGGACCTTTTGATATCATTACCATCCTGTTCCATCCTAAGAATAAAAGCTTAATTAAGACTCGTGCGCCAACTGCGACCGTACCTCATGAAGGCAGATTTGGCCAGGGTGGTCCATGCCTTAGTCACCTCCAGATTGGACTATTGTAATGCACTCTACGTGGGGCTGCCCTTGAAAACGGCCCGGAAATTTCAATTGGTTCAACGGGCGGCGGCCAGGATGTTAACTGGTTCTCCTTACAGGGAGTGGTCAACCCTCCTGTTTAAGGAGCTCCACTGGCTGGGGTTCATTTTCCAGTCCCAATTCAAAGTGCAGGTTCTTACCTACAAAGCCCTGAATGGTTTGGGACCCACCTACCTGCGTGACCGCATTTCTGTGTACGAACCCACACGATCCGTTCAATCATCTGGGGAGGCCCTGCTCGCGCTCCCACCTCCATCGCAGGCACAATTGGTGGGGACGAGGGAGAGGGCCTTCTCGGTGGTGGCCCCTCGACTCTGGAACTCACACCTCAAGGACATCAGGCATGCCCCAACTCTGACAGTCTTTAGGAGGAGCCTGAAAATGTGGTTGTTCCAGTGTGCCTTCCCAGAATAAGGAAACTCCCAGCAATATGTCCTCTAAATGCATTTTATTATTGATCTAGGAGTGTCTGCACGCCCATCCTTCTCAGAAAACTCTATCCTAGTCATATTTCACCTGTTCATGCTCAGCATTATTTTTAAATTTTAATTATTACATTTGGCCCAGCCATAGGTTTTTAAACATCGTTGTGTTACTGTTAATGTTTATTGCTTTTTTCTGTTATGAGTTTTCTTTTTATTGTTTTGTACTACTTGTTGTTATTGTTTTTATTATTGATGTATTATGGGCTCGGCCTCATGTAAGCCGCACCGAGTCCCTTGGGGAGATGGTAGCGAGGTATAAATAAATTATTATTATTATTATTATTATTATTATTATTATTATTATCCCAGTTTCACCACACGTACTTTTCTGCTGATTGTGGAGTTTACTTTTGGTGCTCTGTATATTTATGGTGGAATCACCCCAACTAAGGGGTTATTTTTGAGCCTAACAGCTCAGATTCCCCAACAGAATCTAACAATGAAAGGAAAGACTATTTGAACTTGACTAGTACAAATATGGGATAATTTCAGTTCCTTATTTACAGAATTTACTTATATTCAATGGTGGAGCATTACAGACAACAAAAACCCGAAGTGCAATAATAATAATAATAATAATAATAATAATAATAATAATAATAATAATCAACTACCGAAATGCTAGTCTTGCAGTAAAACCCACTACTCTCCACTGTATTGCCATTAAAGAGGGGTTCATGGTCTTGTGGATGCCACCACTTTCCCCTCCATTGGACTCTTTTTTTTAAAAAAATTGTAAATGCAACATGTTTGGCTTGGAATGTAATCAGGCTTTTCCACATGCTCACACTACCTCTGTGCATCAGTGTTTACAAACAGGTTTTATGTGAGGACTCTGTAGCTGTATGGCTTCTTAATTTGCTAAGAGAATGAACTTATTTCAAAACCAAAGGTGCACGTCTGGGTGTTTTCTTCTATTTCTAAATTCCCAGGTGATCTTCCTGGTTTAAGCTCGAAAGTTGTGCTAACACTGTGGTCTTCTTTGTTTCCCCTAGAAGGATGGCTCTGTCCAAGAATACACCATCACATACCTTGTGAAAGAAGGATCTGAGAAGGCTGATCAATCACACTTTGAGCTGCTCAAAGTCCTGGGACAGGGTTCTTTCGGCAAAGTGAGTCCCCTTCTTGATGAATTTATGCATAACATTGTATATATAACATGATTTTTGTTCCTGGGTTATAAAGGTTTATTAAACTGCAAAAACTTTTGTTTTTGCACAACACCCTGCAGCACATTTTGCTCTAGTTTTTCAATGAATATCTCATTGAGTCTCAACTAATTCAATATAGTTTGTGGCAGCCACAAAAACAAAGTTTCTGGGGTAGAACAAGTACTTTCAAAGTAAGTACTGCATAATGAAACAGGAATAACACTTTCAGATCAGGAATAAAAAAATTCAAATTTTGTTACACAATCTAATAGGTCTACAGTAGAGGGAGTAAGGTAATGCTCAAGATCCTGCAAGGAAAACTCCAGCAATACATGGAGCGAGAGTTGCCGAAATAAAGCCCGGCTGCTCATTGGAGGGAAGGAGACGAGAGACAAAGTTGAAGTACTTTGGCCACATCATGAGGAGACAGGAAAGCCTGGAGAAGACAATTATGCTGGGGAAAGTGGAAGGCAAAAGGAAGAGGGGCCGACCAAGGGCAAGGTGGGTGGATGGCATCCTTGAAGTGACTGGACTGACCTTGAAGGAGCTGGGGGTGGTGACGGCCGACAGGGAGCTCTGGCGTGGGCTGGTCCATGAGGTCACGAAGAGTCGGAGACGACTGAACGAATGAACAACAACAACTGCATAATGAAACAGGAATAACACTTTCAGATCAGGAATAAAAAAATTCAAATTTTGTTACACAATCTAATAGGTCTACAGTAGAGGGAGTAAGGTAATGCTCAAGATCCTGCAAGGAAAACTCCAGCAATACATGGAGCGAGAGTTGCCAGATGTTCAAGCTGGGTTTAGAAAAGGCAGAGGAACGAGAGACCAGATTGCCAATATCCGCTGGATAATGGAGAAAGGCAGGGAGTTTCAGAAAAACATCTATTTCTGCTTCATTGACTATTCTAAAGCCTTTGATTGTGTGGATCATAATAAATTGTGGCAAGTTCTTGGTGGGATGGGCATACCAAGCCACCTTGTCTCTCTCCTGAGGAATCTGTACAAGGACCAAGTAGCAACAGTAAGAACTGACCATGGAACAACAGACTGGTTCAAGATTGGGAAAGGCGTACGGCAAGGCTGCATACTCTCACCCAACCTTTTAACTTGTATGCAGAACACATCATGCGATGTGCGGGGCTTGATGAATGCAAAGCTGGGGTAAAATTGCTGGAAGAAACATTAACAACCTCAGATATGCAGATGACACCACTCTGATGGCCGAAAGCGAGGAGGAGCTGAGGAGCCTTCTAATCAAGGTGAAAGAAGAAAGCGCAAAAGCTGGGTTGCAGCTAAACATCAGAAAAACCAAGATTATGGCAACAAGAATGATTGACAACTGGGAAATAGAGGGAGAAAATGTGGAGGCCGTGACAGACTTTGTATTTCTAGGCGCAAAGATTACTGCAGATGCAGACTGTGGTCAGGAAATCAGAAGACGCTTACTTCTTGGGAGGAGAGCAATGTCCAGTCTCGATAAAATAGTAAAGAGTAGAGACATCAGACTGGCAACAAAGATCCGCCTAGTCAAAGCCATGGTATTCCCTGTAGTCACCTACGGATATGAGAGCTGAACCTTAGGGAAGGCTGAGCGAAGGAAGATCGATGCTTTTGAACTGTGGTGTTGGAGGAAAGTGCTGAGAGTGCCTTGGACTGCGAGAAGATCCAACCAGTCCATCCTCCAGGAAATAAAGCCCGACTGCTCATGGGAGGGAAGGATATTAGAGACAACGATGAAGTACTTTGGCCACATCATGAGAAGACAGGAAAGCTTAGAGAAGACATTGATGCTGGGGAAAATGGAAGGAAAAAGGAAGAGGGGCTCAAGGGCAAGATGGATGGATGGCATCCTTGAAGTGACTGGACTGACCTTGAAGGAGCTGGGGGTGGTGACGGCCAACAGGGAGCTCTGGCGTGGGCTGGTCCATGAGGTCACGAAGAGTTGGAGACGACTGAATGAATGAACAACAACAAGAGGGAGAGATTTCCTGCAGGCATTTGATTTGCAAGCCCATCCATTTTCCATTTTATTGAAGGCCATCAACTTCGTCCTTAAGAGACAAATATAAAATGGGAGTACCTCTGGGTGTAGCGGCAGTCCATGCAGTCATGCTGCCCACATGACCTTGGAAGTGTCTATGGACAACACCGGCTCTTCAGCTCAGAAATGGAGATGAGCACCACCAACACCACCCACCACCCGCCGACTCAGACACAACTAGACTTCATGTCAGGAGAAAACTTTACCTTTACTGCTGAGTGTATGCTGAGGACCTTGTCCCCAGCAGAAGTCATACTTAGTACGGTGTTTCCTTCAAGGTTTTGTGTCACTTTTTCTGAATAGGAAAGCAAAATGGATGCATGGTCATAAAGTTATACTAAAAATTCCCTGTTCTCCCAGGCATTCCAGAGCAGAAGCAACAACTGTTTTTTTACATCTTAAGTATCCAGTGTGTTGGGCAAGTGAGTTTATTAACAAAAGACCCTCCTCATAAATGCACAGCAGAGTAACTTAGCAGCAGCATGACCCAGTACCAGTAGTCCAAAGTGATGAAAAGAACAAAAACACACAGATCAATGTTATCTCTTCCATAGGAGGCTTTTCTTTATAACAAAATAATATGTTTGCTGTATTTACAAGAACAAGATTTTCATGACACAAATAAAGTTCAACCTTCACACTGGAGCTTCACACATAAGCTTTTTCAACCTCAGACTTTATATTGGAGCTTTGCACACGAGGCCTTTAACCTGAGGATTCTTTCAATGAATTTTCTCACACCAGGCCTTCTCACGCTCATAGACTAAAGCCTACGTCACACACTGAGGCTTTTTTGCGACAGTGAGGCATGCTACCACAGAGGCCTATTCTCCCACTGAGGCATTCTCTCACACAGAGAGGCTTCTCTCACGCTAAGAGCTTTCTGAGTCTGAGGCGTTACTAAGAAAAAAGGCACACCTGTTTATATTGAACTACAGCGTTTGCTGAGTTATTGCATTCATTTAACCCTTTCACTTCTTGACTCACATTTTTGTAATTAAAAATACCTAGTTAATTTTCTCATTTTTAAATTTCATCCACTCTAGTATCCATAATAAGGCACTCGCTTCATGATACAAGCTTAAGTAGGTAGGTAGTCCCCTGACATTAAGTCCAGTCATGTCTGACTTTGGGGTGTGGTGCTCATCTCCATTTCTAAGCCGAAGAGCCAGCGTTGTCCGTAGACACCTCCAAGGTCATGTGGCCGGCATGACTGCATGGAGCGCCGTTACCTTCCCGCCGGAGCGGTACCTATTCATCTACTCACATTTGCATGTTTTCGAACTGCTAGGTTGGCAGAAGCTAGGGCTGACAGCGGAAGCTCACGCCGCTCCCCGGAATCGAACCTGCGACCTTTCGATCAACAAGCTCAGCAGCTCAGTGCTTTAACCCACTGCGCCACCGGGGGCTCCACAAGCTTAAGTACGGGAGGCCAAAGCCACCCCTTGTTTTTTTTATCTGTAAGCACCTTAAATTTAATTCTTGGTTTTTTACCTCCCCAAACAAATTTTAATAAGTCCTTATTCCATTCTTTAAATTTTTTAACGTTTCTAATAATCGGGATATTCTGGGGGGAAAAAAGTAATTTAGGTAGGATGTTCATTTTGACCAATGCAATGCGACCTAATAAGGAGATATTTAAATATTTCCATTTCTCTAGATCTTTTTAAATTTCTTTCCATAATTTCTCATAATTATTTTTTAAGAGTTGGCTGTTTTTCGCTGTAATCCAAATTCCTAAATATTTCTTTTTTGTCATTATTTGTAATACTGTCCTTTTTAAATTTCTTCTTGTTTCTTTTTATCCATGTTTTTTGTTAATACCATCGTCTTTGTTTTATTCAGTTTGAAGCCCACAAGTTTGCCAAATTCATCAATCTTTTTTAGCCATACTTCAAGATTTTTTTCTTGAGTCTTCCACTACACCGATCACATCATCTGCAAAAGCTCTCCTTAAATTCATATTTTCCAATTTTTTGCTCCTTTTATATCATTATAGTCTCTGATGCTTTTCATTAATATTTCTAAGGCCATAATAAAAATCATAGGTGAGAGAGGGCAGCCTTGTCGAGTACCCTTATTTATATTAAATTCTTCACCCAACTGACCATTAATTGAAATTTTGGCCTTTTGTGTCTCATAAATTGAATTGATTGCATTGCTGAATCCAAAGCCCATGTCCAATTCTTGAATTAGTATTTTAAAATAATCCCAGTTTAAATTGTCAAAGGCTTTTTCAGTGTCCACCGCTAAAAAGGCAACTTCTTTTTGATGATTTGTGTCATGATATTCTAATAAGTCCAGTATTATTTGAATGTTATCTTTCATATTTTTATTGGGTAGAAAGCCCGTTTGTTCTTCCCCAATCCATTCTTTTAAGATGAATGTCATAGCAAATGTCATAGAAAATGTTGTTGGGCTGTTTTGTTTGTCAGTCTGTGTGATTTCTGCATGTGAGTTGGGTCTTCTACAGCTCATGACATTCAAGATGGAAACCTAAAGACAATTTGAAATGCATTATTATGGTATTGAGGAAGAGGTGCAGAATGACAGGGGAGGAAAAATCCCCTGTGTGCTTTAGTTCAGTTGTCTTAGTGCTCCTTTAATGCATGTCCTTCTTGTTGGGCAAGTGGGCTTATTAACAAAAGACCCCCCCCCCTTAATGCACAGTAGAGTAACTTATCATTAGCAGCGTGACCCAGCACCAATAGCCAAAAGTGATAAAAAGAACAAAAACACACAGACCAATGTTATATCTTCTATAGGAGGCTTTTCTTTTGTAGTAAGATGATATGGTTGCACCGTTTACAAGAACTAGGTTTCCATAACATAAATAAACAAATATGTAGTAGCTTTACATGCAGCAGCCTTCACACTGGAGCTTTTTCACACGAGGCTTCTCTCACACAGAGGTTTATCTCACTCCTCAGGAGGATACTAGCTTTGGCCTACTCACTTTCCTCAGAACGACACTACCTTTGGTCCACTGACTCTAACAGGCTTCAGCCTACTAACTCTTTTCACTGCTTGACTCACACTTTTGTAATAAAAATAATATTTAATATTTAATAAAATATAATATTTAATATTTCTGACACTTCTAAGTTTTCTTTTTCCCATTCTGACTTCTGCACAGGTCTTCCTTGTCCGAAAAATCACCCCTCCAGACAAAGGGCAGCTCTACGCTATGAAGGTCCTGAAGAAAGCAACTCTGAAAGGTGAGGAAGCGCCACATGCTAGAGACATGAAGGCACTTGTGGCATGGGTGGGAGATACATTTTAGTGGCACCCCACCCTTGGCATAATCCCCTCCCTGAATGATGAGTGGATGGAGATGTGAATATCGACTCATTTTGATGCAAATGTTGACTTCTATATCTTGGAGGAGAATAAACCTCTGACCCTCCAAATATTAAAATTCAAGACCTATTAGTCAAAGGCAGCATGATTAGACCAACAACATTTGTATTAGTATTATAGCCACTTCTGTTAATACAGTTACTACTAATATGGCTTCTCTCCTCCTCCTTCTTATGTTCTGCTGTATTCTTTGTTGACAGTCCGAGACCGTGTGAGGACAAAAATGGAAAGGGACATTCTAGTGGAAGTAAACCACCCATTCATTGTGAAACTTCATTATGGTGAGTGTCAACATACATTTTCCTTTATCATATGCTAAATTGTTCAAGATTGTAACCAGGCAATCTGTTTGCATTTGAATTTGAGGGGTTTCTGTTAAGCAGCTGTCCATACATCTAAAAAAATAATACATTATTACTGTTCTCAAGGAATTGTATTAAATACTGTGGGTCCACGCATAGTTCATGAACGGTGAACAAGCTAGCATTCTGGTACAATCTCTTCGCCTCCACTTCCTCCCTGTTGGAAAACAGGAGCAACAAACCAAATTGGAGGGTCCACTCATGATTTATTTGAAGGACAAATTCTGATTCGTCTCTACTCACTCCCTGTTCAGATGATGTTTTTCCTCTTTCCCCTTTTTGGTTTGTTTAAAAGGCAGAATCTCTTGACTTACACATCAAGCAAAAGTGAACAAAAGCATCCTTGTGGCTGGTTTGGTTGTCCAAGAGCCCTCCAAGATCCACTTTTTAAAGCCTTTTCTTTACTCCAAACACCATACTGGGACTAGCAGGACCAAGTTAGCCAAATTTGGGGGCTGTTTTAGGCTCAGGATATGCCTTTCTTCTAACAGGAAGAAAAGACTTGTGATTGTACTGAGCATGTACAGACTCAGGACTCCATTTTCGTATTCAGTTTGCATCAGACCTCAATGGAGGTGGATGCATGTATGTGTTTGGTCTCCAATGATAGCAAGTTACTGTTTGGTCTTTCATTGATGCAGTATTTATTTATTTATTTATTTCATACATTTTGTTCCATCTCCCAGGAGCCTGGTTTGCATTACCGTACAGTTGCTTGAAGTTGCTTCCCCTTGCATTTTTCCCAGGGATGCTGCAGCTCTGCAGAGCCCTGAAAGTTAACAGTTTCAGAGGCTGGAAAGCCAGTCTGCAGGCCTTTTGCAGCTATTGGCTTAGAAGGTATCTTTTGGGGTTTAGAGACCGCCCTTTTTCCCAGGGAAGAGATCTCCATTTTGGAATCTCCCCTGCCTTTTTAGTTAGAGAAAGAACTTCAGATGTGCTGGTGGTTAGTCAGGGTAGCTCTGGGAGAATCATTGTAAGTACTATTGAGTTATAGCTTATTGAGAAATAGATAGAAAGATAAAGATAGTTATTGAGATATTGAGATATAGAAAGAACTATTGAGTATTATTGTGTCCAATTGTGGGCACCACAATTCAAGAGAGATATTGACAAGCTGGAATGTGTCCAGAGGAGGGCGACTAAAATGATCAAGGGTCTGGAGAACAAGCCCTATGAGGAGCGGCTTAAGGAGCTGGGCATGTTTAGCCTGAAGAAGAGAAGGCTGAGAGGAGATATGATAGCCATGTATAAATATGTGAGAGGAAAGCACAGGGAGGAGGGAGCAAGCTTGTTTTCTGCTTCCCTGGAGACTAGGACACAATTGAACAATGGCTTCAAACTACAAGAGAGGAGATTCCATCTGAACATGAGGAAGAACTTCCTGACTGTGAGATCGTTCAGCAGTGGAACTCTCTGCCCTGGAGTGTGGTGGAGGCTCCTTCTTTGGAAGCTTTTAAACAGAGGCTGGATGGCCATCTGTCAGGGGTGATTTGAATGCAATATTCCTGCTTCTTGGCAGGGGGTTGGACTGGATGGCCCATGAGGTCTCTTCCAACTCTTTGATTCTATGATTCTTTGATTCTGTTAAGATATTAAGATATTAAGACTATTGAGATATTAAGCTTATTAAGACTATTGAAGATTGAGATATTATAGATAGATATTGAGAAACAGATATAGATTGAGATACTATAGATAAATATTGAGTAAGATTGAGTAAGATTGAGTCATAGATAGATAAATTTAGTATTAATATATTGAGCATTACTTCATCTCCAAAGCTAACCTTGAGCTATAGATAGGGAAAAACCCTGCTTTTTTCGGAACCATAGCAGCTCAGAGTTAGGGTGAAAGATTCCAGAATCTTATCTGCCATTTTGGGGAAAGGTTGCCTTAGTAACTCAAGGAAAGGAAAGAAAGATCATCTCTATTGCTTCACCAATTAACTGTTCTGTTTGTAACCTTGATGAACTGTGCCAAGTCTGCAAGGAATTTGAAGAATAACTATTCCTCTTTTGATGTTCAAAAGCCTTTAATAGTCTCAGTTGCTGAATATCTCAAACTTCTAAAGAAAGACACTCACAGTTCGCTCAGACATAGAGAGCAGCACATCTTAGTTTATTTTTATAACGTCTGGGTGTAACGGCACACATTTCTATCTCGCCCTTCTCCCCACAAGGGGACTCAGAGCGGCCTCACATAGGCATCAACGATGCTTACAACATATACATCAAAGAATACAATAAAACAGTAAAACAGTAAAATCATCTTAAAACATCAAACACATCAGCCAATACATTCATTTACCAGATAATATTAAAATGCTAGTAAAACAAAAATCAAACCGGAAATCCAGTGTCGCAACCCAAAATCCTTTCCTCTTGTCATTATCATCTAATCCAGTGGTTCTCAACCTGTGGGTCCCCAGGTGTTTTGGCCTACAACTCCCAGAAATCCCAGCCAGTTTACCAGCTGTTAGGATTTCTGGGAATTGAAGGCCAAAATATCTGGGGACCCACAGGTTGAGAACCACTGATCTAATCAAATACCTGGCTACAGAGCCAGGCCTTCAGTTGTCTTCGAAAGGACAGGAGGGAGGTGGCCAACCTGATGTCCTTAGGGAGGGAGTTCCACAGATGGGGGGCCACTGCCGAGAAGGCCCTGTCTCTCGTCCCCACCAACCGCATTTGCGAGAGTGGTGGGATCGAGAGCAGGGCCTCTCCTTATGATCTTAAGCTTCGTGATGGTTCATAGCAGGAGATACATTCGGACAAGTAATCTGGGCCAGAACCACATGATTTATGGACTTCAGTGAGTACAGCTATACTTAAAGACTATGGACTACTGATAAAAAATGATGCCCTGTGTACGCAATACAATGAACGACATCCTATTTATAACTGAACTTCAATAAGAAATGTTCCTGTATGGTGAATCAATACAAGATGTTTGTGAGTAAACAAGATGTTATTTTTTTAAAAGAAGACTTTGTTGTTGTTTTTTAATCTCTAAGTGCATACTTTAAACTAAGAGGTTCCGAGGGAGTGTATATCTTTTGGACAACTTCAAATTCAAAATTTTGGACAACTGCAAAGAAACAACCATCCTCTGCTAAACAAATATACTTTTGTATTGGCATGTCTTTATCCTTGGCAGTTTAAAGACATGGTTCTTCAGTCTAACAGCTGAGTTACCTGTGTGCCATTACATGAATACTTATGAAGGATTGACTTCTAACAAGGTCATGTTTTTCTTGACTAGTGGTTTTCAAAAGGTGGTCTCCACATGTTCATGGAGATTCACATTTGCCAGACGGATGTGACATCTTTTTTACCTTTTCAATAAAGTAAAACCCTCCTACCAGATATATCCTACCTTGTTCATACCCAGCATTTATTTTTTAAATTTTAAACTATTACATTTGGACCGGCCATAGGTTTTTTAAATCATAGAATCATAGAATCAAAGAGTCGGAAGAGACCTCATTGGCCATCCAGTCCAACCCCCTGCCAAGAAGCAGGAACATTGCATTCAAATCACCCCTGACAGATGGCCATCCAGCCTCTGTTTAAAAGCTTCCAAAGAAGGAGCCTCCACCACACTCCCTCCGGGGCAGAGAGTTCCACTGCTGAACGGCTCTCACAGTCAGGAAGTTCTTCCTCATGTTCAGATGGAATCTCCTCTCTTGTAGTTTGAAGCCATTGTTCCCTTGCGTCCTAGTCTCCAAGAAAGCAGAAAACAAGCTTGCTCCCTCCTCCCTGTGGCTTCCTCTCACATATTTATACATGGCTATCATATCTCCTCTCAGCCTTCTCTTCTTCAGACTAAACATGCCCAGCTCCTTAAGCCGCTCCTCATAGGGCTTGTTCTCCAGACCCTTGATCATTTTACTCGCCCTCCTCTGGACACATTCCAGCTTGTCAATATCTCTCTTCAATTGTGGTGCCCAGAATTGGACACAATATCTTCGTGTGTTATTGCCTATATGTGATTTATATTAATTTGTATCGTATGGTATTGTTTTGTTTATTGCTTTTTTTGTTTTATTGATGTGTTGTTGGGCTTGGCCTCATGTAAGCTGCTCCGAGTCCCTTGGGAAGATGGTGGCGGGGTATAAAGTATTATTATTTCCAATTTCCAATACAGATAAAGTATTATTATTTCCATTTTCCAATACAGATAACTTTTTGGGCTTAAAATGGCTCAGATAAAGAAAATAAAAACCCTGAGCGAAATTGCTCCCCATGTGTCTTAGAAGGGCAAAAACATTTTCTGAATTTTTGGGGGGATGCTGCTCCTCAAGATCTCCTAAGCCCTGAAACACATTACACTTGAAACTGAAAAAAGATCTCCACGTTCCAAAAAACATATTACCATGATATGGGTAAATCCAGTTGTACTTACTCATAGCTTGACAATATGATGGAAATGGTTACTGCATGATATGGGTTCTGTTGGTAAGTTCCGTTACGCACCACAGAGGAAGAGAATTCAACAAGAAACTACCACTTTTGATGGAAACTGCTTATTTATAGTAAAGTCCAGCTCCATATTGACCGATCTACCTGTACAAAGAGCCAGTATCATTCAGAGGTTTGGGGGGATTGTTCCATTATCCGAGCAGAGGCCACAAGGGGGCGATAGAGAGAGAAAGATAGTTCCTTTTATGGAGGCTGGGTTGGAAGAAAACAAATTTCCTTGTTTTTACTGGTTATTCCAGATGATTGCTATCGCAAAGTTACTTTAAGAACTTCCGAATTGGTCAGGAAGTTCCTTAAGTAACTTTGGGACAGCAACCATCTCTCAACCTGATCTGTTTTACCAGGTGCTTCTCAAAATAAACTGGAGGGGAAACACGGCATTTTATTTATATTTATTTATTTTATTTACAGTATTTATATACCACCTTTCTCACCCCTGGAGCCCCCGGTGGCGCAGTGGGTTAAAGCACTGAGCTGCTGAGCTTGTTGATCGAAAGGTCGCAGGTTCGATTCCGGGGAGCGGCGTGAGCTTCCGCTGTCAGCCCTAGCTTCTGCCAACCTAGCAGTTCGAAAACATGCAAATATGAGTAGATCAATAGGTACCGCTCCGGCGGGAAGGTAACGGCACTCCATGCAGTCATGCCGGCCAATGACCTTGGAGGTGTCTACGGACAACGCTGGCTCTTCGGCTTAGAAATGGAGATGAGCACCACACTCCAGAGTCAGACATGACTGGACTTAATGTCAGGGGACTACCTTTACCTTTACCTTTCTCACCCCTGGGGGGACTCAAAGCGGTTTACATATAAATAATGGCAAAATTCAATGCCTTACATTGGGCACCGATACAATGCCAATACAAACAATTACAATAGTAAAACCACAATTAAACATAAATCATAATTAAAATAATACATCAACAAGCATTAAAACAATAAAACAGTCGCGTCAGTGTTTCTCAACCTTTTATCCTCCTTGGATAGATAGATTTGTCGATTGATTTGTCCTCTGACCATATCAACAGTAAAAGACAAAAGGCAAGTATACAAAGACACAATACAAATCTCTATCCTAACGCTCCTGTAATTGTTAGCTAAAATACATTTAAGCACTTAAGGTAAAGATAAAGGTTTCCCCTGACATTAAGTCTAGTTATGTCCGACTCGGGGGGTTGGTGCTCATCTCCATTTCTTAACCAAAGAGCCGGCGTTGTCCATAGACGCCTCCAAGGTCATGTGGCCAGCATAACTGCATAGAACGCCGTTATCTTCCCGCTGGAGCGGTGCTTATTGATCTACTCACATTTGCATATTTTCAGACTGCTAGGTTTCAGGGGGACAGGTTTTATAAATTTGGCTATGCAGTGGACTGAGTTTAAATTCTCCACAGAAAGGAAATAGGACAGTTTGGCTTCTGGATCCCAGTTGGTTTACATTATTTGGAGAAAAGGGGGAGTGTAAGGTTCCATGTTCCGTTAATCCATAGTGAAGAAGCAAAGTACAGCACAACCCCTGATCTGTGGGGGAAATCGTCCCAAATGCTGCATGAATATGTGAAAATATGGATAAACCAAACTCTGTTAAAGGGTAAAGGACTTCCATAGAGTCATGCTGGAGGACCTAGAAAATGTCTAGAGCAGTGTTTCTCAACCTTCCTCATGCCACGATCCCTTAATACAGTTCTTCATGTTGTGGTGACTCCAACCATACAATTATTTTCATTGCTTCTTCATAACTGTAATTTTGCTACTGTTATGAATTATAATGTAAATATTTCATATGCAGGACGTATTTTCATTCACTGGACCAAATTTGGTACAAATACCTGATATGCCCAAATTTGAATGCTGGTGGGGTTGAGTGGGGTGATTTATTTTATCATTTGGGATTTGTAGTTGCTGGGATTTATTGTTCACCTACAATCAAAAAGCATTCTGAACTCCAGCAACAATAGAATTTAACCAAACTTGGCACACAGATCTCCCATAACCAACAGAAAATACTGGAAGGGTTTGCTGGGCATTAGCCTTGAGTTTTGGAGTTGTAGTTCAGCTACATCCAGAGAGCACTGTGGACTCAAACAATGATGGATCTGGCCCAAACTTGGCACGAATCCTCAATGTGCCCAAATGGGAACACTGTGGAGTTTGAGGAAAATAGACCTTGAGTTGTAGTTGGTGGGATTTATAGTTCATCTACAATCAAAGAGCATTCTGAACCCCACCAATTGTGGAATTGAACCAAACTTGGCACACAGAACTCACATGACCAACAGAAAATACTGTGTTTTCTGATGGTCTTTGGCAACCCCTCTGACACACCCCTCATGAGCCCCCCCCCCCCCCCCCCCCGAGGTGTCCCGACCTCCAGGTTGAGAAATACTGGTCTAGAAAGGGCATATTTTGTCAGGCATGTGTAAATGAAACTGTTCATACTGATCCTGCAGATATGGGGGACACATGGTACATTTAACAGGGAAGGGAATAGGCTAGTTCCCAGGAAATAGTCTTAATACCTTTAGCATTCAGCTTCAGAGCATCCCCTTCTAAATGTCACTTAGGTAGTGCTCTTGCCAGAGTTAGAAAGAAAGACTGACTCCTGGTCTGTTCTTTGCATTTCAGCCTTCCAGACAGAGGGGAAATTGTACCTTATTCTTGATTTCCTCAGAGGAGGAGACCTCTTCATGCGCCTTTCCAAAGAAGTGAGTATATCCGGCTTGCACGGTATAGGTAGATTTGGTTAACATTTCTGAACAACAAAACTTTCCTCAGTTCCTACTAGAGTTATTAATATGCAACAAATGAGGCATTTAATATTGGAAGTCTTTATTTTGAAGCCAGGGTCAGTTATTTCTACAAACCCCAGGACCTGTTCTACTCAGACTTGCTGCCACTTCCAATTCCACTACTCCGACTCCTGTTCTGCTGCCCTGGTTACAAAGAAAAATGCCTAGCAACCTCTCCTTTCCCTCTCTAGTCTCTCTTCTTTTATAAGCTTATACTGTGATCACCCTGGGAACAAAGATTTGGAACTGTTTGAAACTGGATTAACACCCAATTGTAGCAGGGAATCTCTATAGAGTAAATTTATGTGGATTGCCAAAATATATAATAGGTCTAATACTTTTTTAACGTGTGTTGTACACCAAAGCAGGAACACCTCTGACCTTAAACACCGCACCATCTTGATAAAATCAGGTAGCAGTTTATTGAAAAATATATGTCAGCAAAGCAGTAAAAATTGCAAAAACAGTAAAGTTCCTATACATAAAATAGTTCATAAGCTTCAAGGGGAAACTTCATGGAACTAGCCACAGGAATCCATGAAACAAGGCAGCAGGAAAAATCCCATACACAAATCTGGAGCTTGGCAAAAACTTGGTACATGAAACTAAAGCACTTTGAAAGCAAGACCATCATGAAATTCCAACGTTGACCCAACTGATGCAATGCTTTCCCATGAATCAATATAAGGCTTTTCCACATCCCAAAACTGAAAGGAAACATTTGTCTTGACCTTACCACCAGATAAATGTTCGTTATGTCTGTTTTCCTGTAACTGAACTGTTTTTCTTTGCTTCTGAAGACTTTATTTACAAAAGCTTGGCTTTCTATCTATGTTCTCATTATCTTGACTCTCATTAACTTCTGCACCTAACAAATCATCTTCAGACAGTTGTTCTGAGAAAAGCTGTGAAGGGCCTCTCCCAATAATGTGGCCTTGGGGAATCATCCTGGGACAACTCGGGCCTCTTATCTGAGCTTAACTCAGGCTCAAGTAAACTCTCATCCCCATTGCCAACAGACCCAGGTCCACCATCAGGAACATCACCCCCATTCCCATCATGAACATCAGGATGAACATCAGACACAATCACAGGCTGAACAGGCTGACATACAACATAGCATCAGAAGCAACTTGAGAAACTGCAAGTCGCTGCTTGTGTGAGAGAATTGGCCGTCTGCAAGGACACTGCCCAGGGAACATCATGTGGGAGGCTTTTCTCATGTCCCTGTATGGGAAGCTGGAGCTGATAGATGAGATCTCACCCCCTCAGACGGTTTCAAACTGCTGACCTGAAGGGTTTAACCCAGGGGTCCTCAAACTAAGGCCCGGGGGCTGGATACGGCCCTCCAAGGTTATTTACCCGGCCCTCAATCAGGATCAACCTAAGTCTGAAATGACTTGAAAGCACACAACAACAACATAAATCCTATCTCATCAGCCAAAAGCAGGCCCACACTTCCCATTGAAATACTAATATATTTGTTAAAATTGTTCTTCATTTTAATTATTATATTGTTTTAAGTGGTTTTTTGCATTACAAATAAGATATTTGCAGTGAGCATAGGAAGTCGTTCTTGTTTTTTTCAAATTATAATCCGGCCCTCCAATGGTTTGAGGGACTGTGACTTGACCCTCTGTTTAAAAAGTTTGAGGACCCCTGGTTTAACCCATTGCCGCACCGTGACTCTAATACTCATTTTCTGGCGCTCTTAGCATTGCAAAAATACTTACGTTCTCCAATCAAGGCTGTATGTTTTCAAGAATTCTGCAGTTGCACCCCAATTCACAGAAATTTAGCAAAAACTACAAAACATTATAATTCCAATATTGCATTTCACCATTAAATAATCATCTGTTGCTTCAGATGATAGGACCAAGTTTAAAGATTCTGGAGTTGTTTAGAAAACCTAACTGTTCCATGTTGTGATCTAAATATACAGAGAAGTATAGTAAAAAAATGTCCAGTCCCTGTTCCCAGGGAAGTTACATTAAAGTTCATAATAGGGTTGTGCATTCGTGGTAAACCTTGACCAATTTCGTGTCCCAGCTTTCGATGCGGTCCCTGATCCATTTTTTGGGAACCTCCCAAAATTGGAAGGGCAGATAATCTGTTTCCATGTTTCCACTTTATGGTGCTGAAGGATCTGTTTTCTGTCAACCCAATATTTTTGGGGGGGGGGGGGTGTCACCTTCCCATCATTTTAGGCATTTAAGCTGTTTTACTCTAGAGGAGAGGTGCTCAGCTATGGGCAGATGCATGCTTTGAGGAGACTTCTCCTTACTTGTATCTTAGTCTCGAGGAGGCACTTGGCTGTAGGCACTTGCCTTCACTTTCTGGGCCTGCTGCATTCCACACACACTTTCCAAGGCAAGGAGGCAAGTTCTCTTACTTCAGAGGAGGCACTTGGTTGCTTGCACTCGTGCACGCTTTCAGGGCCTCCTGCATGCCACACACACTTTCCAAGGGAAGGAGGCAAGTTCTCCTACTCCAGAGGAAACACTCAGCTGCAAGCATTCGCACTCGCTTTCAGGGCCTGCAGCACACCACATGCACTTTCCAAGGCAGGGAGGCAAGTTCTCTTACTCCAGAGGAGGCATTTGGTTGCAGGGACACACACATGCTTTCTAGGCCTGCACACCACACAGGCACTGTCTTTCCAAGGCAAGGAGGCTGATCACAAAAAGCAGACGAGGAGCCGGGATCGGCTCCTGTTTACCTTCGTGTCGAGCTGATTTTCGTACCGGGAGGGGACTTCCCGTTACGTGCTCCTGAAGGTAATGAAAGAACGGATGAAATGGAAGAAACGAATTCCACGCACAACCCTAGTTCATACAGAGGAGGGACTAGAAGGGAAAAGAGGGAAGAAGGTAAATCTGTTTCCTTACATGTTAGGAATTGTGGGAGCTGAAGTCCAAAACACCTGGAGAGAGGGCCAAAGTTGGCCCATACCTGTTCTAAGACCTTCTTTGTCCTGTATTTGCATTTCCTTTTAATCCACCTTTTTTTTTTTTAAGCAGTTTCTAAGCTTTGGGCTTTAATGCTGACTTCTGGTTTTCAATGAAAAACCTTCAACTAAAAATGAGACAAAACACTGTGGTTCCAGAGTAGACCCCGTACAAGCTTTCTCTGTCAAACAGAATGGAAGAATTGCAAAACTACTCTTAATAGTTCTTCTCTGTCTCCGGTTGTACCATTTCCACGCATAAGCAAAGCAATTGCCTGCTTCCTTGGTCTATGGAGGTGGCAGGAAGCACGGAGAGGCCTTGATGGTGCAACAGGAAACTGCTGTGAGGGCAAGGAAGCATGGGACATTATTTCGGCAACTATCAGGTTACCTTCTAAGAATGAAGGTCCCAAATCTGGTCTTCCCCATCCTCCCCTCAACCCCAGCTGCTTAGCAAGGTCCAAGTTGTCTTCTTATACAGATGTATTTACTAGAATGTCATTGCAGAACAAAGCAAGTAAGCAAGGTTAGTTTAATAAAGTAAAACACAGATGAGGAAGTATCTCTGACCATTCATTCTGAGAATGGCCCTCAGAGAGTAGAAGCAAGTTCTGCAGAAGTGTAAGGCCGTTTCTGCAGCAAGAATAAATTAGACAACTGTTTCGTCTACAGATTGAGTATCTGTTATATGAAATGCTTTGGCTAAGAAGTGTTTTGGATTTTGGAATACCTGTATTTGCATTTACGGCCATAATGAGATTTTTTGGAGGTGGGACCAAAGTCTAAATACAAATCCATTCATGTTCCATATATATCATATACGCATCGGCTAGAGAAGTAATTTTATGCAAAATATTTTAAATATATTTTTATTGATTTTTGCTTTACAAAATTGCATTAAAATCACAGGAAAGGCATACTGGGGTAGATGGGAGGTAGGTAAGGCTAGGAAGGGGGGCTGCAGGGGAGGGGAGGGGGGTTAGGAAGTGAGGGGAGATGAGGAAGGGATATAGGGATGGGATGGGACGGGTACTTCCAGGTTCTCTCAGAGTGATTTGTCTAGTTCTACAATTCTACAATTGTGTACTTTTTTAATAATCTATACATAGTATATTCTTCTTATTGATTATCTGTATTCAAACATATAATCCAGCACACATTTTTAAACCTTTGCTTGAATCCATTATCAATTTCTTATTTCAAACAATTCCTGAATTCCTTTTATAGATCCATTATATACGTCTTCTTATTTTCCCCTCTTATAAATTCCAACACTGCTTTCCAGTCTGTTATTTGTGGTTTTGTGTAGTTTTGTGAAATTCTTTGTGTAAGTATGTCCATATTTATTATGTCCATTATTTTTATTGTCCATTGTTGAATTGTTGGTACTTCTTTGGATTTCCACATTTTTGCTAAAGTCGTTCTTGCAGCCGCTGTTAAGTAGAAAAAGATCTTGTCTTCATTCTTTTCCATTTTAATGTCCAGTAATCCTAGTAGTAATATTTCTGGTTTTGGATGAAATTTTATGTTTAGGATTTTTTCTATCGTTTTGTGTATTTGAGTCCAGTAATTTTTGATTTTTCTGCAGTTCCACCACATATGGATAAATTTGCCTTTTTCTTTTCCACATTTCCAGCATAGGTCCTTTGTTTTATTTTTGGAGATCTTTGCGAGTATCTCCGGTGTTAAATACCACCTGTAAAAGATCTTGTACCAACTCTCCTTAAGGTCTGTAGCGTATGTATATTTTATTTTTTTGTGCCAGATTTCTTCCCAATCTGCTAGAGGTATGGATCGGCCTATATCTCTTGACCAGTTTATCATATTGGTGTTTATTAATTCGGTTTCCGTGGCCCATAATAGGAGTTGATTGTATAAGCAAAATATTTTAAATAATTGTGTGCATGAAACTAAGTTTGTGTACATGGAACCATCCGAAAGCTTGTGTAGATGTCACTATCTCAGCCACCCATGTGAGCAGTTTTGTACTCTAGAGTACTTCAGATGTTGTAATACTGGACAACAGATGCTCAACCTGTATTTCTACAGATTAATTATTTTGCTTCTAAACCTCAGTCCCGAAATTGCAGTGATTTGACAGATTCTGCATTTGAAGCCGTAACAGGCACCTTGAGATATTTATTTACTTTWTATATAAAAGAGTACAAAGTTAACTCTTGAGATACAGAATTGAGTCTGTATTTTCCGTATCTACTAAATAATATCATATTACTTTATTCTAAGATGCTCCCCCCCCCCCCCATATAAACATCTCTAAAAACTGTTGTAGTCCAACCTTTGATTGTGCCTGTACTGATCTCACTGGGGATTCTGGGCCTGTAAGGCAGCCTGATGCTGACASTGGGGATTCTGGGCCTGCAGATAAGCAAGAGAATCAGGAGATTTTAAGCTCTGAGAATGAGAGCTCTCTGTCCCACATTCCAGAAAGGCAGTTCCCTAGAGATGCAAGGCCAGAGGCACAAATGAACTCAAGGGAGGAAGATGCAAAGGAGGAAGATAAAACTCCAGGTGGACGAGCTAATGAGCAACAGTTAGATAGAAGATTAATGTTCCGTCAACATAGGGTATCTCAGGAAGCACAGTGAAGGCCAGCTTGCCTATTATCAAAGAAGCCTTATCAGTTTTGGAAGGGCAATGGCGGCTTTTCTATCTGTATTAGAAAGGACAGCAGAGTATTCCCTCAGTACCGACAACGTTAATTTTGGAGCCAAGTCAAGTCTTCCAAGGGATTTTTAGTTCCAGGTTTCTTTGTGTTCACACTTCCTGATTCCATGTTTTATGTTCCTGTGGACTGTTCTTGTGTTGAATATTTGGACTCCACTTGCTTTCCTATTCCTGATTTTTGATGCATTTCATATACTTTGAGGATTATTCTTGGTTTTTGGACATTGATTTTACACTATTTTCTAGGAATTCCTATTTATCTATCGTATCTATCTATCTATTCTTCAATAAACTGCTTTGCTATTTATCTTGAAGTACAGAGGTGATTCCCAGCCTTGGAGTGCAACAAAAGTGAGATGTGCCTTAGAATCGCAGGTGTGTGCATATATATATTGTGTTGGTGGTACTGAAATGAGTGTGTGTCTTACCACTGATGGCCTCTTAGAATTGAAGATACATGGGGGGGACACAGCCATTAACTAATTGATTTCTGCCTCGTGTGACCTCTCCATTGTCTGTTCTCGATTCCTCTTAGGTCATGTTCACTGAAGAAGATGTGAAGTTCTACCTTGCGGAGTTGGCCCTGGGCCTTGGCCATTTGCATCGCCTGGGAATTGTGTACAGGGACCTTAAACCAGAGAAGTACGCAGAGCCCAAACGTTTCACTGTTTTTAATTAGCTTCTTTTGGGGTGTATTCCTGAAGAATTGCAATGCATATTTGTAATTGGGTTGCTAGGGGTTTTCCGGGCTATATGGCCATGATCCAGAAGCATTCTCTCCTGATGTTTTGCTCACATCTATGGCAAGCATCCTCAGAGGATGTGAGGTCTGTTGGAAACTAGGCAAGTGGGGTTTATATATCTGTGGAATAATGTCCTGGATGGGAGAAAGAACTCTTGTCTGTTTGAGGCAAGTGTAAATGTTGCAATTGGCCACCTTGATTAGCATTGAATAGCCTTGCAGCTTCAAAGCCTGGCTGCTTCCTGACAAGAGGATCCTTTATTGGGAGGTGTTTGCTTACCCTGGTTGTTTCCTGTCTGGAATTCCTCAAACACCTCCCAACAAAGGATTCCCCTAGGCAGGAAACAACCATAGAGTCTCAACCAAGTCAATATAGTTTGTGGCAGCCACAAAAACAAAGTTTCCAGAGTAGAACAATGACTTTCAATGTAAGAACCACACAACTAAACTTTCAGATTTGGAACAGATTTTTTTTTCAAATTTTGTTACATAGTGTAATTTGTCTATGTTCTGGTGATATATTTTATCCCTGTTTCTGCACCTTATTTATGTTCTGTCTCTTTGCTTTATAGTATTCTCCTGGACGATGAAGGGCATATCAAGCTCACAGGTACAGTGTTTCTTACTGATTGTGGCTGCTACTTTGAAAACTATGATGAAAACTATTTATTTTTGACACTGTTGAGTAGATATGTTGGAAATAGCAACTTCCCAAGCCTTTGACAATTGATTTGTTAATGTATATATTTGTTAACCTGTATTCTATGTGTATGTTGATTTGCCAGTTTGACTTATCTTTTTGATGTGGAAGAGGTTATAAATATGTGATTGTACTGAACATGTTCAGACTCAGGATGCCATTTTGTATTCGGTCTGCTGAACACCTCATTGGAGGTGGATATGTTTACATCAGACTTCAGTGGAGATGGATGCATGTTACTATTTGGATTTTAATGGACACAGTATTATTTATGGACTTCAATGAGTACAACTATACCTAAAGACTATGGACTATTGATAAGGAATAATATCCTGTGTACTCAACACAGAGAGAAACCTACATCCTAGTCATAATTGAACTTTAATAAGGAATGTGCCTGTATAATGAATTAATACAAGTTGTTTATGAGTAAACAAGATATGTTATTTTTCAAAGAATACTTTTTTGGTTTCAAGGGAGTGTATATCTTTTTGGGCGGTTACAACTGCATATTCTACTTCGAAAAAACAACCATGCTCTGCTAACGAAATACATTTTTGGATATATCCTTGGCAGTTTAAAGACATGGTTCTTCAGTTTAACAGCTGAGTTACCTGTGTGCCATTACATGAATCCTTTTGAACATCACTTTTCTTGACTAGTGGTTTTCAAAAGGTGGTCTCCACATGTTCATGGAGATTCACATTTGCCAAATGGATGGGATGTCATTCTTACCTTTTCAATAGGTTATGGTGCTGTTACTTCCAATAGGTTGTGGAATTTCCCATAAGATAAGGTAATTGACTGTTACTCTCTTTTGGTCCCCTTCATTTCCTCTTTCTTCCTGCCTTCCCTTATCCCTCCAATGCCTTTTCCCTCCTGTAGACTTTGGTTTGAGCAAAGAAGCCATTGACCATGAGAAGAAGGCCTATTCCTTCTGTGGGACCGTGGAGTACATGGCCCCGGAAGTGGTGAATCGCCAGGGTCATACTCAGAGTGCCGATTGGTGGTCCTATGGGGTCTTAATGGTAGGCTTGTTTTTTTGTTTTATAATACTGCCTCCTGGCTCTTACAGCAAATCTTTCCGATTAAATAGAAACAGCCAGGATCCTATCAGTTAAAAATAACACAAATCTAAAAGGTCCCAATAAATCAATAACACTTTTCTTCTGCCAAGAAGACACTGTCTTCAGAAAGCCAGATAGATGTTAAACGATGACCTATTGGGACAAACTCATGATGATGGGAAAGTTTTAAAATGCCTCCAACAAAGCAGCTTCAGAATTGATATTGCAGCCCCCAAAACAATCTACCTAGGAAGCTCAGCACAAAGTCTGAAGACACTTCTATCAATTAAATTAGAAATAGGTTGCTATGAGTTTTCTAGGCTGTATGGCCATGTTTCTCTATGGCAGGCATCATCAGAGGCTGTGAGGTCTGTAGGAAACTAGGCAAGTGAGGTTTATTTATCTGTGGAATGTCCAGGGTGGGTGAAAGAACTCTTGTCCATTGGAAGCAAGTGTGAATGTGGCAGTTGGTCACCTTGATTAACATTTAATGGCCTTGCAGCTTCAAAGCCTGGCTGGTTGCTGCCTGGAGGAATCCTTTGTTGGGAGGTGTTAGCTGGCCTTGATTCATTCTTGTCTGGAATTCCCCTGTTCTCTATTTACTGTCCTTATTTTAGAGGTTTTTTTATATTGGTAGCCATATTTTGTTCATTTTCATGGTTTCCTCCTTTCTGTTGAAATTGTTCACATGCTTGTGGATTTCAATGGCTTCTCTGTGTAGTCTGATATAGTGGTTGTGAGAGTGGTCCAGCATTTGTGTGCTCTCCAGTAATATGCTGTGTCCAGGTTAGTTCATCAGATGCTCTGCTATGGCTGACTTCTCTGGTTGAATTAGTCTGCAATGCCTTTCATGTTCCTTGATTCGTGTTTGGGCAATCAAGGAACATGAGCGGCTGAAAGAGTTGGGCATGTTTAGCCTGGAGAAGAGAAGGCTGTAAGAGAGGAGACATGATAGCCATGGATCATGATGTTAGGGCAAGTCATCAGGAGGAGYGAGCAGGCTTGTTTTTTCTGCTGGCCTGGAGACTAGGATGTGGAACAATGGCTTCAAATTACAGGAAAGTAGATTCCACCTGAACATTAGGAAGAACTTCCTGACTGTGAGAGCTGTTCAGCAGTGGAACTCTCTATCCTGGCATATGGTGGAGGCMCCTTTTTTGGAGGTTTTTAAACAGAGGCTGTGGCTCTCTGTTGGGGGTGCTTTAAATGTGATGTCCTTGCTTCTTAGCAGAAAGGGGTTGGATTGGATGGCCCTCAAGGTCTCTTCCAACTCTATGATTCTATGATTCTAATGTTGTGTTTGGTTGTCTCTATGTAGACTTGTCCACAGTTGCATGTTACACCTTATAGTCCTGCAAGGCCATTGAGTGCTAATCAAGGTGGCCAATTGCAATATTCACACTTGCCTKCTGCAGACAAGAGTTCTTTCTCCCACCCTGGACATTCCACAGATTTATAAACCTCACTTGCCTATCTTCCAATATACCTCACAACCTCTGGGGATMCCTGCCATAGATGTGGGAGAAACATCAGGAGAGAATGCTTCTGGAACATGGCCATACAGCCCGGAAAACTCACAGCAAACCAGTGATTCCAGCCATGAAAGCCTTCCACAACATATTAAATTAGAAATGTTTGGAAGCTTAACTGTGGCTGCCTAAATGCTACCCCTGTAATGAAAGTAATGAAGACTGTTTGCTGAATCAGTGCTGCCATCTTGTGGTAGTTCATAGCATCTATCTGCCTTTCTAAAAACAAAATGGGGTAAAAACAAGAAGGCAATATCCCATAAGGCCAATGTGGTTTAGTGATTTGGCCGTTGGGCCACAGCACTGGATTTCTATTGCTTGGCAATAGAAATCCAGTGGTGACCTTAGACAAGACGTACTCTCTCAGCCTCGGAGGAAAGCAATGGCATTCCTCCTCCGAACTCATCTTGCCATGAAACACCCATGATAGGGTCACAGTTTCAATGCCTGGCTAGTTGCTGCCTGGGGGAGTCCTTTGTTGGGAGATGTTAGCTGGCTCTGGAATTCCCCTGTTTTTTTAGTCTTGCTCTTTATTTATGTTCTGATTTTAGAGACAAAACAAGAATCAATCAGGGCCAGCTAACACCTCCCAACAAAGGATTCCCCCAGGCAGCAACTAGCCAGGACTTGAAACTGCAGGCCATTAAATGGTAATCAATGTGGCAGATTGCAACATTCACATGTACTTCAAGTAGACAAGAGTACTTTCTCCCACTCTGGACATTCCACAGATATATAAACCTCACTTACTGAGGTTCCAACAGACCCCTCAACCTATGAGGATGCATGCCATAGATATGCGCAAAACATCAGGAGAGAATACTTCTGGAACATGGCCATATAACCTGGAAAACTCACAGCTATCCATTAGTCATTTTCTTTTGTCATGTGAATCGCAACCCTAAAACACAAGGATATATTTGGCGCACTGTCTCCAAATAGAGAAATAGAGCCGTAGATCACGGAGTGACTTCCTTCCTTCATTGTTCTACAACATTTCTTCCATCATTCTTTAAATTTTATTATTATTACTAATAATAATTTAGATGCAGTGCCTGAAGACCTTGGTCTGCACTTAAAAAAAATCGGTGCTGACAAAACTACCATCTGTCAATTGCAAAAGGCCACCCTGCTCAGATATGCACTCATTATTCGCCAATACATCACACAGTCTTAGACACTTGGGAAGTGTCTAACGTGTCATCAAATACAAAAGCCAGCTGAGTGCTCTTGTTTGCTGTGTACTAATCTTGTTGTGTATCAAATAATAACAATAATTATAACAACAATTTTATTTCTTACCCGCCTCTCCCCATGGCTCGAGGCAAGTCACAGTACAATAAAAAGAACACAAATACTATAAAAATTCTACAAACACATTTTAAAATGCATTTCCATCAAAGATACATATCAAAGCCTTTCTATAAAACTCACGTTAATCACACACGTCTGAAACCAAAACACAGGACATGAGTTTGAAATGTTTTATGTTACATTTTTACATGTTTTGTTCTAAATGAAAAAATATATACAAGAAATGAAGTAGAATTAATAATGTAGTGAGAAAATTACAAATTATGATAGGAATCATAATATTACTAATAATGTTGCAAGATAGTGGTACAATATAGTAAAATATAATACTAATATTGTGCTATGCTAATAATATAATATATTGTATATACATATTATATTGGTCATAATATTGTAATGTAATACAATATAATACTAATACTAATAAAATATAATAATATAATAATCTATTATATATTACAGGCAATATTACTAATAATATTGTGTTATAGTAGTATAGCACAGTATAGTAATAAGGAGCCTCCAGTGGCGCAGTGAGTTAAAACGCTGAGCTGCTGATCAAAAGGTGGCAGGTTCGAATCCGGAGAATGGCATGAGCTCCCACTGTTAGCCCCAGCTTCTGCCAACCTAGCAGTTCATAAGCAAGCAAATGTGAGTAGATCAATAGGTACTGCTCTGGCAGGAAGCTACTGGTGCTCCATGCAGTTATTCTGGCCTCATGACCTTGGAGGTGTCTGTGGACTTAGAAATGTCTTCGGCTTAGAAATGGAGATCAGCACCACCCCCTAGTCGGACATGACTGGACTTAATGTCAGGGGAAAACTTTTACCTTTACCTACAATATAGTAATTTATAACACTAATATTGTGCTATGCTAATAATAGAATGTATATACATATAATATTTATCATAATATTATAATGTAATATAATACTAATAATATTGCATTATAGTGGTGACTATGATAATGTAGTATAATATTATACTAATAATAATACAGTATAACAATATAATAATTATATATTGCATGTAACTAATCATATTTACTAATAATATTGCATTATAGTTGTATAGTACAATATAGTAATATATAATACTAATATTGTGCTATGCTAATAAAACAGGGAGCTCTGGCATGGGCTGGTCCACAAAGTCACAAAGAGTCGGAAGCAACTGAATGAATAAACAACAAATAATACAATATATTGTATATACATATAACTTGTAAGCTGCTCTGAGTTCCCTTTGGGATGAGAGGGGGCAGAGTATAAATATAGTAAGTAAGTAAGTAAGTAAATAAGTCAGCTTCACCACTCGTTCTGTTTTTAAAGTTTTAAATTCGTGTATGTTGCTTCTGGGTTCAACCCAGGGTCCTCCGCCTCTTTCACAATGAAACGGAAAAAAGAGCCAACACTTTTAGAATAAGCAAAACTAACACTGTTAAGCATTGTGAAAGAAGTTTAAAGGTTTGACATTAAATCTAGTTGTGTCCGACTCTGGGGGGTGGTTCTCATCTCCATTTCTAAGCCAAAGAGTCGCCATTGCCTGTAGATGGCTCCAAAGTCATGTGGTCGGCATGACTGCATGGAGCACCGTTAACTTCCCACCAAGGCAGTACCTATTGATCCACTCACATTTGCATTTTTTCAAACTATTAGATTGGCAGAAGCTGGGCCTTAATAGTGGGAGCTCATTCTGCTCTCTATAGATTTGAACCACCGACCTTTCGGTCAGCAGCTCAGTGGTTTAACCCGCTGCTCCACTAGGGACTCTGAAGGAAGTTTACAAAATTAGAATAAAATCACCAGTCATCTCCAGACCCGCCGGTGCATCCTGTACTCGTGACCTTCTTTGCTTTCTGTTCTTTGCAGTTTGAGATGCTGACGGGGGCCCTGCCTTTCCAGGGGAAGGACCGGAAAGAGACAATGACCCTCATTCTCAAGTAAGACCCCGTGGCTTTTGGCCTATTAGTTTGGGAGAGGTTTGGCCTGAGATAAACTACTCTTCAGGAACTACATTTGCAGGGAACCCTCTTCCCAAAGGAAGCAGGAAGAGTGGGGTGGGTGAAGTTTTGTCCCATGCCACTTTAGTTTCTGTAATGTTGTATTTTTGTCCACTTTGGTATTTTCCTTTTTTTCTGGCCTTCTTGGATTTCTGTTAGCCACAGTGAGTTTGCCCTAAGCATAAAAAATAAGGTATAGATCAGTCATGGGCAAAGTTGGGCCCTGAGGGTTTTAGGACTTCAACTCCCACAATTCCTAACAGCCTCGGGCCCTTTCTTTTTCCCCTTCAGCCGCTTAAGATGTTATCAAAGCCCCTAACTTGGGCCCAAAACCTGTCCTCAGTTTATACATGAGGTTGACTTATAGGTAAGGTATAATGTCTGGGCACAGATGTGGTTCATCCACATCCTCCTCCAAAGGGTGGCTCAAATACCATCACATGGATGAGTTGCGTCCCTGATGCCATATATCAATGGTTCTCAACCTTCCTAATGCCGTTACCCCTTAATATAGTTCCTTACGTTGTGGTGAACCCCAACCATAAAATTATTTTCGTTGCTACTTCATAACTGCAATTTTGCTATTGTTATGAGTCATAATGTAAATATCTAATATGCAGGATGTATTTTTATTCACTGGACCAAATTTGACACAAATACCTGATACGCCCAAATTTGACTACTGGTGGGGTTGGGGGGGAACTGATTTTGTCATTTGGGAGTTGTAGTTGGTGGAATTTATAGTTCACTTACAATCAAAGAGCATTCTGAACTCCACCAACAATGAAATTGAACTAAACTTGGCACACAGAACTCCCATGACCAACAGAAAAAAACTGGAAGGGTTTGGTGGACATTGACCATGATTGAGTTTTGGACTTGTAGTTCACCTCCATCCAGAGAGCACTGTGGACTGAAACAATGATGGATCTGGATGAAACTTGGCACAAATACTCAATCTACCCAAATGTGAACACTGGTGGGATTTGGGGAAAATAGCCCTTGACATTTGGGAGTTGTAGTTGCAATCAAAGAGCATTTTGAACCTCACCAATGATAGAATTGGGCCAAACTTCCCACACAGAACCCCTTTGCCTTAAAGGGACTCACTAATGTGAGCCTCCCTCTAGCCTTACACGCTCCCCCTTGCTCGCACATGCAACCAATGTTTCCATGAGCCGAGCACGCCTGCTCTCCCCTCCCCACTTGGAGTCTCAGAAACAGCCCTCCCCTTGGCTAAGAGGCTGGCCAATCACAGCGGAGCATTTGCCGTTTGTTTTCAACAAGGAAGCGAAGGGCAGGTGAAGAGATCTTCAGCCTTCTCCATCAAAGGGATTCCTAAGACCATTGGAAATATATGTATCTGATGGTCTTTGGTGACACTTCTGAAACCCCCTTGTGACCCGCCCAGGGGTCCCGACCCAAGGCTGATAAACACTGATGTAAGGTATAATGTCTGGTCACAGATGTGGTCCATCCACACTCTCCTCCATAGGGTGGGTCAAATAGCATTGAGATGAGTTGGGTCCCTGGCCTGCCACTTGCTGATGCTTATGAGACACTTTTTGGAAAGCCATATAATGTTGGAAGAACAGTTCAAAATCCCTTTGCCTTCTCAACAGACTTGACTTGGGACGTGCAAATGCTACATACAGCCTGTTATCCCCACCACCACTACCTACCCCTTTGTATCCATATGGTGAAAAATAAGTCTACAGAGAGTGCTGGCATGCTTGGAAAGCTGGAGGTGCTGCCACTCCTTTGCTTCTTTCTCAGTGACTCACGGCAGGTTGCATAATATACATATGCATATATGTGTGCATTTGCCTTTTCTTTAGAGCGAAGCTGGGCATGCCCCAATTCTTGAGCGCTGAAGCACAGAGTCTCCTGCGATCCCTTTTCAAGAGGAACCCAGCCAACAGGTTAGGTAAGGAGCCCTTGTTTGCTTTGTGCCTGAGCACGTCCACAACACGAAAAGCAGCTCAGAGGCGAAGTTGGAGGCACATGGCGTCTTTGGAGAGGGTTAGCTTCACGACACAAAAAGAGTAAAACACAGGCAATAAGTTTACATTCCTTGTGAAATGTAATATTTTTGGGACTAGAGACAACAGCCCAAATTGGAAATTGAAAGGGGTGACCCAAGTGAAAGGCTCCTTCTCCTGATTTGCCTTGTGTCGTCGGAAATAAACAACACTGGCTTCTGTGCAATTCCTGAGAAACCCATGCAAATTTTGTACAGAGACACAGATGCTGTGTCTTGATTATACTAAAAGATGAGCCTGCTTCCAGTATGAGTGTGAACATGCTACTTCTAGGGTTACAGTTCTCAGACTTCCCCAGCCAATGTGCCCACTGCATGATTCTAGAAGTGGATCAAAATGAAAAAGCATTTCCAAACTCTAGGTGTTCATCTGTGCTGGACGAGGTCACACTCCCCCTAGAAGCTCAGGTACGCAGTCTGGGAGTTCTCCTGGATTCATCGCTGAGCCTGGAACCCCAGGTCTCAGCGGTGGTCAGGGGAGCTTTCGCACAATTAAAACTTGTGCGCCAGCTGCGTCCGTACCTTGGGAGGGCTGACTTGGCCACGGTAGTACACGCTTTGGTTACATCCCGCTTAGATTACTGCAACGCTCTCTACGTGGGGTTGCCTCTGAAGACTGCCCGGAAGCTGCAGCAAGTCCAACGTGCGGCAGCCAGATTACTAACGGGGGCTGGGTACAGGGAGCACACCACTCCGCTGTTACACCAGCTCCACTGGCTGCCAATTAGCTTCCGAGCACAATTCAAAGTGCTGGTGTTGACCTATAAAGCCCTAAACGACTCCGGCCCTGATTACCTCTCCGAACGTATTCTCCCCTACGAACCATCAAGATTATTAAGATCATCTGGAGAGGCCCTGCTCTCGGTCCCACTGGCCTCGCAAGCGCGCCTGGTGGGGACGAGGGACAGGGCCTTCTCGGTGGTGGCCCCGCGACTCTGGAACTCTCTCCCTCTGGAGGCCAGAACCGCCCCATCCATCCTAACATTTAGGAAACGGGTGAAGACGTGGCTGTGGAGTCAGGCCTTCGATGAATGAGACAATACCCTAGGACTCTGGATAGAAGATGATGTAGACCTGTTTTTAATATGACGACTGACCACTGTAGTTTTATACATAGTGTTATTTTAAAGCTGTTTTTGTAATTGTGATATATGATATTTTAATGACTGTATATGTTTTTATGGTTGGAAACCGGGCTGAGTCCCTCAATGAGGTTGAGAAGCTCGGTATAGAAAACTTTGAAATAAATAAATAAATAAATAAAATTGTAAGCCGAAGCCTGTTAGAGTTAGTGGGCCAAAAGTAGTTTTGCCCTGAGGAGAGTGAGTAAGCTGAAGCCTGTTATTTTTGCCTCAGTGAGAGAACTCCTCAGTGTGAGAGGTAAACATCTGTATGCTTTCCTCATGCAAGGGAGCAACTCCAGTGTATAAAGGCTGCTGTGTGTGTAAAGCTACTATGTATTTGTTTATTTGTGTTGTGGGAACCTTGTTATTGTAAATAATGCAGCTATATTATTTTACTACAAATCAAAGCCTCCTAAGGAAGAGATAACATTGATCTGTGTGTTTTTGTTCATTTTTCTCACTTTGGACTCGTGGTGCTGGATCACCCTGCTGCTGATGAGTTGCTCTGCTGTGGAGGGTCTTTTTGTTATTAAGCCCGCTAGCCCAACAATATGTATTGGGTTTTAGACAACAAATTCTGTCCTGGGGAAAATGTGAAGTACCCAACTAATTGGGACTCTGTATATTTTTAACAAGTGAAAATTCCTTTAAAATTGGTAGAGTGATTTTTTAAAAAAAAATACATTTGTTTTGCTCTTTGCACCAATCTGTTTCTGGTACCAATGAGTGCATCAATACCCATGTGGTTTAACATCTACATGAAGCTGCTGGGAGAGATCATCCGGAGTTTTGAAGTTCAGTGTCATCTGTACACAGATGATGTTCAACTCTGTCACTCCTTTCCACCTGCTGCTAAGGAGGCTGCTCAGGCCCTGAACCAGTGCTTGGCCACTGTGACGGTCTAGATGAGGACAAACAAATTGAAATTGAATCCAGACAAGACGGAGGTACTCCTGGTCAGTCACAAGGCTGAACAAGGTATAGGATTACAGCAGTGATTCCCAAACGTTTTTTGACCAGTGACCAGTCTCCAACATTAGTTTTAAAAAGGGTTACGAATCAGTTTTTGGTCAACTTTAGATTTGGTTTGGGGTGCTGATTCTGAAAATTGCATTGGATAGACCACATCAGCTCTAGTTTCTGATAAAGAACATATGTCATGGTCAGTGACAGAGAAGGAGTGGCAGGCAGTGCAAAAGGAGCAGAAATAAAATAAATAAATCAAGAGGAAGGAGGGTTGCGGACCAGATTTTCGTCCTCACGGCCCACTGGTGGTCCGCAGCCCACAAGCTAAGAACCATTGGATTACACTCCCCCTGAAGACACAGGTCCACAGCTTGGGAGTTCTCCTGGACTCATCTCTGAGCATGTAACCCCTGGTTTCGGCGGTGGCCAGGGGGGCTTCCACACAATTAAGACTTGTGCACCATCTGCGCACGTACCTTGGGAAGACAGATTTGACCACGGTGATCCACGCTCTTGTTACATCTCAAATAGACTCCTGCAACCCACTCTATGTTGGGTTGCCTTTGGAGGCTGTTCGGAAGCTTCAAGTAATCCAACAAGTGACAGCCAGGTTTCTAACTGCACCAGCTCCACTGGGTGCCAGTCTGCTTCCGAGCACAATTCGAATTGCTGGCTTTCGCCTATAGAGTCCTAAACAGTTCTGGCCCAGCTTACCTATCTGAACATATCTCACTTTATGACCCACCTCGTAGATTGCGATCATCTGGGGAAGGCCTGCTCTCGATCCCACCTCCTTCGCAGGCACTATTGGTGGGGACAAGAGACAGGGCCTTCTCAGTAGTGGCCCCTCGGCTGTGGAACTCCCTCTCCAGAGAAATTAGATCAGCTCCCTCCTTCCTGTCCTTCAGGAAGACAGTTAAATCCTGGTTGTGGGACCAAGCGTTTGCACAGTGCCATTTTTTTTTGTCGTGTCAGGAGCGACTTGAGAAACTGCAAGTCGCTTCTGGTGTGAAAGAATTGGCCGTCTGCAAGGACGTTGCCCAGGGGACGCCCAGATGATTTGATGTTTTTATTAGGGCTGGGCGGTTTCGTTCGTTAATTTCGTAATTCGTTATTAATTCGTTTTTTTTATAACGAAGCGATATTGAACCATTCAGGAGCAACTAAAAATCGAAACGAATTTTTAAATTTATTTCGTAATTGTTTCGTAATTGTTTCGTAATTGTTTCGTAACTGGTGCAAATTTTATAGTTGTTGTTTGTTTTATCAGTGATAAAAAATAATTTATCACACCAACAGTCAACAACAGAGGGAGAGGGAAGCTTCAGAAGTTCCCCCTGTCCCATTTGGAGGGTTTTTTAGCGTATTGCGCAATCGCGTCCGCCATTAACGAATCGATTCGTTATTGTTTCGAAATTGTTTCGTAATTTCCGAAATTTCGTAAATATCGAACTTTTTTAAAGAAAAATTTCGGAATTCTTTTAAAAAACGAAACGCAAAAACCCCTAAAAACGAATCGAGTTTAGAAACAAATTTTTCCGTGGTTGCCCAGCCCTAGTTTTTATCATCCTTGTGGAAGGCTTCTCTCATGTCCCTGCATGAGGAGCTGGAGCTGATAGAGGGAACTCATCCGCCTCTCCCCGGATTTGAACCTGCGACCTCTTGGTCTTCAGTCCTGCCGGCACAGGGGTTTAACCCACTGCGCCACTGGGGGTTCGGCACAGTGCAATAATGAACTATTACAAATGACAATTGGAATGTCTCCTGACTTATGTTCTTGGATTATGTGATTTTAAATAACTATTTAAATTGATATGTTTTAATGATGTGATCTTAATGTATATGTTGTTTTATACTGATATGTGTTCAAAGCATTGAATTTTGCCTTTGTTGTGAGCCGACCTGAGTCCCCTCCGGGGTGAGAAGGGCGGGATATATATATATAAATAAATAAAATTAACTTATAGAGAGCTTCTTTTCCTTCATGTCTTGCATAGCACTAGAAATACATAATGGATAAAGACACAGGTTTTGGAGATGGCTTCTAATTCCAAAACATTAAAAGAAGAGGAAAAGGTTGGATAATGTACTAGTTGCCACCCAAAATGTAACTTTTCCAAGATACAATCAAGAAGATAGCCTAACTGAGCTTCCAAGTTCAGAGATAATATATCTGCAAACTAGCTTCACGTGACAGAGGATGACTGTTGCCATTGAGCTTTGCTTTTTTTGCTGTTAGGAAGCATCTGGTGGATTGACTAGAGCCGTTGCCAGCAAAGCTTCCTTTGCATGCGGTAGATTCGTAGCTTTTGGTATTCCATCAGGCATTGCCCACACACTTTCTTGCAACCATAGGAACTAAGAATTTTGCTTCTGTACTAAATGAAGCTGAGCTTCTCGAGCTTACGCTGAATCTCAGGAGCCCTGTTTATACAACTTTACTTGTGTGCGTGTGTTTCATTTGGATGTAACTCTGAGCACGTTGACCTTTCTCTGTGCTGCACAAGAGTCTGTATAGAACAGTTGAAAACGGTGTTCTTAATCTTCTAGGGTCTGGACCAGATGGTGTTGAGGAAATCAAGCGTCACCCTTTTTATTCTACCATTGATTGGAATGTGAGTATTGGTCTTTTCCTACCACTTAGATATTTAGTCCTGTAAGATCTTAGCATCCACATCTATCACTGGGAACAGCACAGGCAGAATTTTTCAAACAGTCTTCTCAAACCTGGTTCTGCTGTGTTGGATTACAACTCCAGACAACCATCCACCCTCTTTGGGTGCATCTACACTCTAGATGCACTACAGTGGTTCTCAATCTTCCTAATGTTTTGACCCCTCATGTTCCTCATGTTGGGGTGACCCCCGACCATAACATTATTTTAATTGCTACTTCAGAACTGTAATGTTGCTACTATTATGAATCATAATGTAAATACCTGATATGCAGGATGTATTTTCATTCACTGCACCAAATATGGCACAAATACCCAATATGCCCAAATTTAAATACTGGTGGGGGTGGGGGTTGATTTTGTCATTTGGGAGTTCTAGTTGCTGGGATTTATAGTTCACCTACAACCAAAGAGTATTCTGAACTCCACCAATGATGGAATTGAACCAAACTTGGCACACACAACTCCCATGATCAACAGAAAATACTGGAAGGGTTCTGTGGGCATTGACCTTGAGTTTTGGAGTTGTAGTTCACCTACATCCAGAGAGCACTGTAGACTCAAATAATGATGGATCTGGACCAAACTTGGTATGAATCCTCAATATAGAACAATATATGCCCAAATGTGAACACTGGTGGAGTTTGTGGAAATAGACCTTGACATTTGGGAGTTGTAGTTGCTGGGATTTATAGTTCACCTACAACCAAAGAGTATTCTGAACTCCACCAACGATGGAATTGAACCAAACTTGGCACACAGAACCCCCATGACCAACAGAAAATACTAAGCTTCCTGATGGTCTTCGGTGACTTCTCTGACACCCCCCTCGTGACCCCCCAGGTTGAGAAACACTGCTGTAGAAAGTGTGCAGTTTGACACTACTTTAACTGGCCTGGCTCAGTGCTAAGAAAACATGGGGGTTATAGTTTGATGAGGCACCAGTAGTATTTGACAGAGAATCATAGAATCAGAGTTTGAAYCGATCTCGRGGGCCATCCAGTTCAACCCCCTGGTAAGAAGCAGGAACATTGCATTCAAATCACCCCCGACAAATGGCCATCCAGCCTCTGTTTAAAYGCTTCCAAAGAAGGAGCCTCCACCACACTCCAAGGCAGAGAGTTCCACTGCTTAACAGCTCTCACAGTCAGGAAGCTCTTCCTAACGTTCAGATGGAATCTCCTTTCTTGTAGTTTGAAGCCATTGTTCCGCGTCCTAGTCTCCAGGGAAGCAGAAAACAAGCTTGCTCCCTCCTCCCTATAACTTCCTCTCACATATTTATACATGGTTATCATGTCTCCTCTTAACCTTCTCTTCTTCAGGCTAAACATGCCCAGCTCTTTAAGCCGCTCTTCATAGGGCTTGTTCTCCAGATCCTTGATCATTTTAGTCACTCTCCTCTGGACATTCTAGAGGAGGATGACTAAATACCTTGTGAAACTACAGCTTTGTCTCCATATTTTGGGAGCTTTTTCCTTTGTCTGATCAGATGGCTTTAGTTTTCTCTTCTTTCTGTATCCTTTTTCACTTTGCAGAAGCTCTTTCGTAGAGAAATCAAGCCGCCTTTCAAGCCTGCTGTGGGTCGTCCTGATGATACGTTTTACTTTGACAAAGAGTTTACCTCCCGCACACCAAAAGGTTTGCACTGTTTTTTTAGTCACAAAAAATTTCAGATTATTTTAATAGGACTTATGTGGCATCATTACACCAAGCCCTGATGCCTGGATATCAATTTATCCTGATAGTGTTAGGCAGGGAGCTGATCTGGGTGTTTTAGCTGTCTGTTGACTTACCATAAATAGTCTAGGATTTCTGCAAGGATCAACAACAAAAACCAATACACAGATACATACACCCTTAAGTTAATCTGTTAGAATCTCCTTCCTATAGTTATTTGGTAATATAAACTAAAATATGACAGCTGTATTTTATATGGCCCAGCATATGGCTCATGGAGTAGCGTGCATGTAATTCATTACATGCCCTGGAGTGCCATTTCGTGTTAATTTTACCTGTCAACGCCATACAATTTTGTGCCTTGCTTCTAATTGAAAACCAGGTACATCCCAGAAGCCCAAAGTCTACTTATGCCTTTCATAAAATATAAAATCATCCCTAGACTTGATTTATTCAAGAAAGGCACATCCATCATATCCAAATAATTTAGCAGATCTAAATACCCCAAAAGCAGCAGATACTGTCTGATCTTGGATGGTAAGCAAGGCCAGCCCTGGTTCGGACTTGCATGGAAGACTGCCAACAAATAGAAGGAGGAAGGAACTGACAAAATATAGAGCTTATTGGGTTGCTGTGAGGTTTCTGGGCTGTATAGCCATGTTCCAGAAGCATTCTCTCCTGACTCCTGACGTTTTGCCCACATCTATGGCAGGCATCCCCAGAAGTTGTGAGGTATGTTGGAAACTAGACAAGTTAGGTTTATATATCTGTGGAAGGTCCAGGGCGGAAGAAAGAACTCTTCTTTGCTGGAGGCAAGTGCGAATGTTGCAATTAATCACCTTGATTAGCATTTAATGGCCTTGCAACTTCAATGCTAGGCTGCTTCCTGCCTGGGGGGATCCTTTGTTGGGAGGTGTTAGCTGGTCCTGATTGTTTCCTGTCTGAAATCCCCCTGTTTTCAGAGTGTTGCTCTTTATTATTATTATTATTATTATTATTATTATTATTAACTTTATTTGTACCCCGCTAGCATCTCCCAAAGGACTCGATGCGGCTTACAAAGGCCAAGGCCTCAAAACACAACATAACAATACAAAACCTAAAGCAAATTAAAAATAATTAAAGTAATATTAAACAAGAAGCAATAAACAATACACCAAGACACAATAAAACTGGGCCGGGCCAGAGTAATGGGTACAGAATTAAAAGTGCTGATGTGACAGGTGATATGTAAGGATTATAGGGTAAGTGCAGTGTGCAGCAATCTTAATTCTAATAAAGTGCGTCTGGGACTTGTTATTGGAGTTTTCCTATTCTGGAAAGGCACATCGGAACAGCCAGGTCTTCAAGTTCTTTCTAAAGACTGCCAATGTAGGGGCCTGTCTAAGATCTTTGGGGAGGGTGTTCCAGAGTCGGGGGGCCACCACAGAAAAGGCCCTTTATTTATAGTCCTGATTTTAGAGGGTTTTTTTTTTAAATACCGGTAGCCAGATTTTTGTTCATTTTCATGGTTTCCTCCTTTCTGTTGAAATTATCCTTGTGCTTGTGGATTTCAGTGGCTTCTCTGTGTAGCCTGACATGGTGGTTGTTAGAGTGCACTTTCAGAGTGGTTACTTCTTGTCTTTTTTCCCCCTTCTAGATTCACCTGGGATTCCACCAAGTGCAGGGGCCCATCAGCTCTTCCGTGGCTTCAGTTTTGTGGCTACTGGCACAATAGAAGACGAGAAGACCAAATCTCCAACAGTGCCTTTACATTCTGCTGTCCAGGTAAAAAGAAGCCTGAAGAATGCCTGGCAACATCACAAAAGCTTCGTTGCTCCCTCTGTTTAAATTACAACTCAGCTTAATTGAGGACTTATCTTCCCAAACATTTTCAGTATCTCTCATTCCCAAAGCATTACTAAAAAATGACATTGGTTTGTCTGAAAGAGATCTGGCATTTTGGGCGTTAGAGACCACTTTGTCAGATATAAGTGATTGTTTAGCTTGATGGGCTTTGCATAGAGATGTCTGCCAAGTTACAAATCTCTCATAAAATTGGTTAGTTATCCCCAGTGTCTACAGCTCATAAGACTCCATTTACAAAGCCTTATGCCGGCAGGACTGCTGACCGAAAGGTTGGCGGTTCAAATACGGGGAGCAGGGTGAGCTTCTGACTGTCAGCTCCAGCTTACATGCAGGAACATGAGAGAAGCCTCCCACAGGATGATAACACATCCGGGTGTCCCCTGGGCAACGTCCTTTGCGGACGGTCACTTCTCTCACGCCAGAAGTGACTTGTAAACAATTGAACTGAAGCATTTGTAGCCCTGTTCACCCTGGCAGGGCAAATGTGTGATTTTCATTCAGAATAATGTTCTGTACATATTAAACTTGTCCAGTGGTCCCTGATCCACCTACTAGCGGTGGCAAAAGTGCTTTTTTTGCCACTGCTATTTGCGAAAGAAGCACTTACACCTTCAGAGACCTCTTCCTCTTTGTAGTCTGTCTGTCCCTCTGATGCACTCTCAGTTCCCCGTATTCTCTTCTGCTTTTATTCCCTGACTTTAGCAACTGCATGGCAAGAACCTCCAGTTCAGTGATGGTTACATCGTGAAGGAGGCCATCGGCGTAGGTTCCTACTCAGTGTGCAAGCGCTGCGTCCACAAAGCAACGAACACAGAATATGCTGTAAAGGTTAGGGCCTTTCTACTTTGCTCTACCCATAAATCATCATACTTCATTAAAGAGGATTAATAAGGAGCCAGAAACATTGGATAGTTTAGGAAAATGCCACCTTTTATTGTTGAACTTCAGAGCTCCAGTGAGATGTTTTGACTGTCTTTGTTTGATTTCTGCCCTGTCCTTCATAGAACAGTGGAATATGCTGTCTTTTTCATAGAAGGACAGAAGAGTTACTAATTTCTATGGAAATACACAATTAAAATGACAGATTCTATTTATCTATAGTAGGCCTTTGGTATCTGCTGAAATTTGGTTCCAAGATACATATACCTTCCCTGTGGATACCAAAATACATGGATATAAGTCCTATTATATGCAGTGCTTTAGTAGAATGGTGTTGTTTATGTCAAAATGGCAAAACCCGGCTTTGTTTTGGGGATTTTCTAAAAACATTTTCAAGCCACAGATGGTTGAATGTGTGAATGTCGAATCTGTGGATACAAAGGACCAATTGTACAGGGTGAGGCAGCATAACGTCCTTTTTTCAAAACTTAATAAAACCCATTGTATGAATCAGAATTTTTTTAAAAATAATGTAGGCGCATACCTAAAGTTTTGTTTTACGTAGTTTTGAAGATCAAATTAGGTAGGTGACGCCCCCCCATTCTCCTTACACTGAGTAAACCGATTTGTCATGACTCTTGCCAGCATAGCAGGCGTTATGTTGGCAATTTCTTCCTGGATGTTGGTCTTCAAATCTTGTAGGGTCCTTGGACAGTTCACATAAACATGGGATTTTAAAAAACCCCATAGAAAAAAATCACAAGGGGCCAAATCTGGAGAGCAGGCCGGCCACTCCAAATCCGCTCGAAAAGTAGGCCTCAATGGCAAAAGCACTCTCCTCATTGTTCCAACGCATGGTGGCGACTGAACTGTCTCAAGACAAAACTTTATACTCCCGCCTCTCAAACACTATTGCTCTGCTACGTCTTCAACCGACTGAATGGCTCGCATTTTAAAAAAGGAAGGTATGCTGCCTCACCCTGTATAATTGCCAGCAGGGAAGAAGTGTTAATGCTATTGCAGTAATAACAACAGAATCTAATGCAGTGGCTCCCAACCTTCCTAATGCCACAACCCCTTAATACAGTTCTTCCTGTTGTGGTGACCCCCAACCATAAACGTATTTTTGTTGCTACTTCATAATTGTCATTTTGCAACTGTTATAATTATAATGTTAATCATAATGTAAATATCTGATATGCAAGATGTATTTTCATTCAGTGGATCAAATTTGGCACAAATACCTGATACACCCAAATTTGAATATTGCTGGGATTGATAGAGATTGATTTTTGTCATTTGGGATTTGTAGTTGCTGGGATTTATAGTTCACCTACAATCAAAGAGCATTCTGAACTCCACCAGCGATGAAAGTGAACCAGCCTTGGTACACAGAACTCCCATGACCAACAGAAAATACCGGAAGGGTTTGGTGGGCATTGACCTTGGTGGGCATTGACCTTGAGAGCACTGTGGACTCAAACAGTGATGGATCTGAACCAAACTTGGCATGAATACTCAATGTGCCCAAATGTGAACACTGGTGGAGTTTGTGGAAATAGAGTTGTAGGTGCTGGGATTTATAGTTCACCTACAATGAAAGAGCATTCTGAATCCAACCAAAGGTAGAATTGGGCCAAACTTCCCACACAGAATCCCCATGCCTTGAAGGGATTAACTGGAGCCAGCTATCCTTCAGCCTCGCACATGCACACATGTGTACTACGCTGCCATGCACTGAGCACGCATGTGCTCCCCTCCCCACTTGGAGCCTCAGAAACAGCCCTCCCCTTGCTTGAGAGGCCAGCCAATCACAGCAAAGGAGGGCTTTTGGTGAGAGGATTCATCCTCTGTTTCCAAAAAGGAAGAGAAGGACAACCCCTCTGAAACCCCCTCACAACCCACCTCCCAATATCCTGACCCCTAGGTTGAGAAACACTGGTCTAATGGCTTCTTAATGGTTAAACGAGTTTTGTGTATTGTCAAATTTTTATTTATTTTTTATTTATTTAGCAGTTTTGTATACCGGTCTTCTCACCTCCATTGAGGGACTCAGGCTGGTTTCCAACATCAATATTACCGACAGTCATTAAAAACATCATATTCTAAATCACACTAAAGCATTAAAATAGCAAAATACAGTCATATAATTACAATGGTCAGTCGTCATCAAAAGTCATTATTTGTCATCATCCACCCATATCACAGGATCATGGCTCATTCGTCGAATGCCAATTTCCAGGGCCAAGTTTTCACCTGTTTTCTGAACGTCAAGATAGAAGGGGCAGTTCTGATCTCCAGTGGAAGGGGGTTCCAGAGTCGAGGGGCCACCATCGAGAAGGCCCTGTCTCTCGTCCCCACCAGACGCGCTTGTGAGGCCGGTGGGACCGAGAGCAGGGCCCCTCCAGACGATCTTAGCAATCTTGATGGTTCGTAGGGGAGGATACGTTCGGACAGGTAAATTGGGCCGGAGTCATTTAGGGTTTTATAGGTTAAGACCAGCGCTTTGAATTGTGCTCGGAAGCTGACTGGCAGCCAGTGGAGCTGGTGCAACAGAGTAGTATGCTCCCTGTACCCTGCTCTTGTTAGTAGTCTGGCTGCCGCACGTTGGACTAATTGAAGCTTCCGGGCAGTCTTCAGAGGCAACCCCACGTAGAGAGCGTTGCAGTAATCTAAACGGGATCTAACCAAAGCGTGGACCACCGTGGCCAAGTCAGACTTCCCAAGGTACAAAGGCTTTCATGGCCGAAATCACTGGGTTGTTGTAGGTTTTTTCGGGCTATATGGCCATGGTCTAGAGGCATTCTCTCCTGACGTTTCGCCTGCATCTATGGCAAGCATCCTCATGCTTGCCATAGATGCAGGCGAAACGTCAGGAGAGAATGCCTCTAGACCATGGCCATATAGCCCGATAAAACCTACAATAAACGAGTTTTGTTTGGCACAAGACTTCATAGACAACACCTTTAATACAATAAGGCAATGTCAGTCTTTTTCCCCTCTTTTTATTTCTCTTTGCACAGTAGGACCCTCAGCCTGAGCAGACACCACATAGTAATTGAGGCAGCTGAGAGGTCCCTGTTTTCAAATTTTGCCACCTCCAGGCTTTGAATAGGTAGCCTCAGGCTAGCTCTTGATCTCTCAGTCCTCAGTCCTAATATGTAGTAAGGGAATGACACTGAACTAACCTACTCAGACTGCGGAAAGATTGCTGAACTGACCCACATGCAGTGTTTACAACCCTTAAATGCTAAATTGATGTTCTTATATAGTAATAAGCAACTTATGTCATGCAGGTGATCGACAAAAGTAAGAGAGATCCCTCAGAAGAGATTGAGATACTCCTACGGTACGGACAGCACCCGAATATCATCACGCTAAAAGATGTGAGTAAAGTAGGATCAATCAGGTCCCCCTGCTTGTCAGAATAAAGCAGTTCTAAACATGTAAGGATGGCTTTGTTTATGAATGGATTTGTGTGTATGGGTCTCCTGACACATACAGAATTGTGAAGAAGAGACCTGCGACAAAAGGGAAGATCAAACCTTTGGCTGTTGATGTTGAGCATAGACATGACTTGCAAGTTCCTACAATTCCCACTAACCTGTTACAAAACTGTTATTGATCTTCTCTAATTGTAGAACTAGCCGTCCCCTGCCATGCATTGCTCTGGCCCAGTCTGTGTATATGTGTTTTGTGTGTATATGTGTGTATTTATATATTTGTGTATGTGTGTATTTATGTGGTTATGTGCATGCGTTGTAATTTATTTTTTTGGCTTTTTAAGTCTGTGCCGCTGTACTTTTCAGTGTTTTTATGAGTGACTGTGGCCAAACCTTCCCTCCCTCTTTCTTTCCTTTCTTTCTCTCCTTCCTTCCCTCTTTTCCTTTTCCTTCTTCTTTCCCTTTTTCTATCTTCCTTCTCTACCTGTTTCTTTCCTCCCTTCCTTTGGTCTTTGGTTCCATCCTTCCTTCTCTCCTTTCTTCCTTCCCTTTTTCTCTTTTTTGTTCCTTCTCTCCTTCCTTCCCTCTCTCTATCCTTTCTTCTTTCACTTTTTTATTTCCCTCTATCTTTCCTTCCCTCTTTCTATCCCTCCTTCCTTCCCCCTTTCTGTGTATATGTGTTTTGTGTGTGTATATATGCATATATGTGTGTGTGTGTGTATTTGTGTATGTGTTGTTTGTATGTATATATGTGGTTTTGCGCATGTGTTGTYATGGGGTTTTTTTTTGTTTTTTGGCTTTTTAAGTCTCTTCTGCTTTGTTTTTCTTTTTTTCTTTTGTTAAAATAATTTTTATTAAAATTTCAAATATGCAAAGATAAAATCACGTGTCTTGTTTATAAGCATTAAATAGGAAAAAGAAAAGAAGAAAAAAAGACAAAAAGAACAGAAAAGAAGAAAGGAACAAAAAACAAAACAATATATATATATATACACACACACACACACATATATATATATACACATACACATGCATATATATACATGTCTACACCCACATATACACATATACATACACATGCATACACCCGCACACATATGTATACACTCACATAAAGAAAAATATACGATCTAAACACACATAAATACAAATGGAACCGTCAATCTCAAAACCTCCACCCGTCTCTAGTATGGCTTTCAAAAATTTCTCTTAAAACAGCTCTTCAAAGTTGTTTCTTTCCCATTTACAGGCATCAGTGTTTTCACCTTTCTTTCTTTCTTTCTTTCTTTCTTTCTTTCTTTCTTTCTTTCTCCTTTTCTTCCTTTTCCTTCCCTTTTTTCTTGTTTTGTCTATCATATTATTAATCCTGTTCCTCTTACTATTGGTTGAGATCAAATTAGTATCTTTATCTTATTTTTCTTCAACCAATCTTTGATAGGGTTCCAGTCTGTTGCTTTGATAGGTGTATTTCGTAGGGATGCTAATATGTATGTTAACTGATCCATGTTCATGATGTCCATTATCTTCTCCATCCATTCCTCCTTTGTAGGGATTACGGCTTGTCTCCATACGCTTCTGCTTTGTTTTTCAATGTTTTTATGAGTGATGGACAGTCATTGGCCTGATTGGTGTATCGTGCTGGTGGGTTTGTGATAAAGGAATATGTTGCCTGAGAGTGTGGTGGAGACTCCGTCTTTGGAAGTTTTCAAACAGAGACTGGATGACAATCTACTGGGAATGTTTTGATTGTGTGTTCCTGCATGGCAGACTGAGATTGGACTGGATGACTCTTGTGGTCTCTTCCAGCTCTATAGTTCTAAGAACCAGCCTTTCACAGCTTATCCATGACCATTCATTTGGCAGGTGTATGACGATGGCAAGCATGTCTATCTGGTGACGGAGTTAATGAGAGGCGGGGAGCTGCTGGACAGGATCCTCAAGCAGAAATGCTTCTCTGAAAGGGAAGCCAGCTCTGTCCTGCACACAATATGTAAGACTGTGGAATACCTTCACTCCCAAGGGGTGAGTATGAGATGCTGAGGAACCTTCCAGGCAGGTAGGCAAGTTCAGGAGGGGCAGGGAATGGGATGTTCCAGCAGAGGACGCAGGCTTAGGTGATGCTTTTTATGTAAGCCGCTTTGAGCCTCCTTCAGGAGAAGTAAAGCAGAGTATAAATAAACAACATCATCATCATTATTATCATCATCATCATCATCATCATCATCTGCTCTGTATAGACACCTCAGTCTTTTCCCTGAAAAGCTATTACACCAGCTTTTAAGAAATATATTCATTTGGTTACTATGTTTTTCTTGATGTTTATCTAAAGCTTCAAATAAAATTTTCCAGGCGTTCTTTTTCCAACCAGTACAATAAAATTCCCCACAGCGATATTTCTATTTCAGTGTGAAGGGCTTCTCCGCTGTGTCTTGTCAGAAATATTAAAAATTAACTAGGTATTTTTAATTACAAAAATGTGAGTCCAGCACTGAAAGGGTTAACTGGATGCAATGACTCAGCAAAAGCTGTAATTCAATATTTGAAGGTGTGCCTGTTGCTTAGTAACGCCTCAGTCTGAGAGAAGCCTGTGTGAGAGAACGCTTCAGTGGGAGAATAGGTCTCAGTGTTAGTAGGCCTTACAGCAGTGTTTCTCAACCTTCCTAATGCTGCGACCCCTTAATACAGTTCCTCATGTTGTGGTGACCCCCAACCATAAAATTATTTTCATTGTTACTTCATAATTGTAATGTTTCTCCTGTTATGAATCGTAATGTCAATATCTGATATGCAGGTTGTATTTTCATTCATTGAACCAAATTTGGCACAAATGCCCGATAGGCCCAAATTTGAATACTGGTGGGGGGGAGATTTTGTCATTTGGGAGTTGTAGTTGATGGGATTTATAGTTCACCTACAATCAAAGAGCATTCTGAACTCCACTAATGATGAAATTGAACTAAACTTGGCATACAGAACTCCCATTACTAATAGAAAATACTGGAAGGATTTGATGGGCATTGAGTTTTGGAGTTGTAGTTCACCTACATCCAGAGAGCACTGTGGACTCAAACAATGATCAATCTGGACCAAACTTGGCATGAATGCTCAATATGACCAAACATGAACAGTGGTGGAGTTTGTTGAAACTAGACCTTGACATTTGGGAGCTATAGTTGCTGGGATTTACAGTTCACCTGCAATAAAAGAGCATTCTGAACCCCACCAATGATAGAATTGAGCCAAATTTACCACAGAGATGCCCCATGGTCAACAGAAAGTACTGTGTTTTCAGATGGTCTTTGGTGACCCATCTGACACCCCCCTTGCAACCCGCTCAGCGGTCCCGATGATGGCGAAAGCGTGAGGAAGGTGAGGGGGCTTTGCGTGAGGTCAGGCCTCGCGCCGAGATCCCCTCGCTCGCCTTGGACCCTCGCTGGATGGCAAAAGAGCGAGGCGGGCGAGGGGGCTTTGCATGAGGCCAGTCCTCGCACCAAGATTCCCTCGCCCGCCTCGGGCCCTCGCCGAATGGCGAAAAAGTGAGGTGGGCAAGGGGGCTTTGTGCGAGGCCAAGCCTCGCACCGAGATCCCCTCGCCCGCCTTGGGCCCTCACCAGATGGTGAAAGAGTGAGATGGGCAAGGGGGCTTTGTGTAAGGCCAGGCCTCGCGCCAAAAGCCCTCGCCCGCCTCGGGCCCTCGCCGGATGGCGAAAGAGCGAGGTGGGCGAGGGGGCTTTGTGTAAGGCCAGACCTGGCACCGAGATCCCCTCACCCACCTTGGGCCCCCGCCAGATGGTGAAAGAGTAAGGTGGGCGAGGGGGCTTTGCGCAAGGCCAGGCCTTGCGCGAAGGAGCCCTCGCCTGGCCCGCACCCTTGGGGTGAGGCCAACGAGGCGCCCTTGCGACCCCTCCAAAATGGCCAGGTGACCCCCCTGGAGATCGCAACCCCTAGGTTGAGAACCGCTGCCTTACAGCGTGAGGTAGGCCTTAGTCTATGAGACGGCCAAGTGTGAGAAGGCCTGGTGTGAGAGGCTTTGGTGAGAGAGAAGCCCCAGTTTGCCTCGTGTGTGAACCTCTAGTATATGTTCCTTGTGAGAGGAGGCTCTGTGATAGCAAAGCTGTTTGTGTTGTAGAAACCTTGTTATTGTAAGGCTCTGTGAGAGTGAAGCTGTTTATTTGTGTTGTAGAAACCTTGTTGTTGTAAATAGTTAAACTGTATTATTTTGCTATAAAAAAGTTTCCTATGTAAGATGTAACAATGGTCTGTGTGTTTTTGATCTTTTTATCACTTTGGGCTATTGGTGCTGGGTCATGCTGCTGCTGATAAGTTACTCTGTTGTGCGTTTATGAGGAGTATCTTTTGTTAATAAGCTCACTCACACAACATGTCTCGTGGAAAAGACCCATCCAGTAACTTAGAGCTCATTATTCAACAAATCACAAGACAGTCATCCCTCCACCTTTGCGGATTTGATTATTCATACATTTAATTAAAATGTTATATCTAGGAATTTCTAGATCCTCCCGTGCAACTGGGTCAATGTCTTTTGGAAGCTGACTATTGGAGTTGTTCTGGAAAACTTAGAGATTCCTAGAGAAAAAACATCTCTAGGAATATCTGTGCTCTCCAATGCAATTCTGTGGCCATGTCCTCTTACACAGTCATTCTGTGAGTCCTAGAGATGTCTAAAGATGTTAAAAATAGCATTTTTGAATTGGCAGTTTCTCCCTTTTGTGGGGGTTCCTGCGTCCCTAAGCCCAGCAAATGTAGAGAGTTGACTTTACATGGCTGGTGGAGCGCTGGTCACTTGGACTTGTCAAAAATTGTGCAGGACTAGCATAGGGCCATAGCCGTTTATTTTGCCACTACAGACTTTACTGTCTGAATGGCAAGTAGCAAAGACTCCTGATGCCTGAGTTCAACTGCCAAGTTTTTAAGAGCAACTCCAAACATGTTGCTCTTTTCCTCTTGTTGTTTAGAATGTAGACAAATTGGACAAAGAGACTGTCAAGACATGTCTAGTAGTAGTAACGGGAATTTAGAGAAACCTCCCTCGAGAGATCAGGCGGCTTCATTTCTTTCTGTCTTAGCTATACAATGAGGGCTTTATTTGAGCAAGATTTGTGGCATCTTATTTGCTACTGCTTTTTTTAAAATCACAGTGTTTTGCTCTATAATCTTATTGCTGCTGTTGTGGTTTTGGGGTTTTGCCTTGTATTTTATCTCTGAAAACTACTCTGGATTGGGATGGATAGATAGATAGATAGATAGATAGATAGATAGATAGATAGATAGATAGATATTAGATATACATACACTATGGGAGCTCACCCCACTCCCCAGATTTGAACCACTAACCTTTCAGTTGACAAGTTTAGCAGCGCAGCGGTTTAACCTGCTGCACCACCAGGGAGCCCTCTATATAGTAGACCTAATAACTTTCCTGCGTGTTGATTCTTCAATCACCAGTTGCGTGACTTGATCTACTGTAGTTGAAACCAACCCAGCAGAATGAATGCCAGCTATGTCTGTAAGTTGGAATGGTCAGATAAGATAACCCATGGGTTTTGGCACTGTCTTCACAGGTGGTTCACAGAGACTTGAAACCTAGCAACATCCTCTATGTAGATGAGTCTGTAAATCCAGAGTCCATTCGTATTTGTGACTTTGGCTTTGCCAAGCAGCTGAGAGCGGACAATGGGCTCCTCATGACCCCCTGCTATACTGCCAATTTTGTGGCTCCAGAGGTGAGTAGCTCATGAGCCTAGCTGAACTGCTGCAATAAAGTCCCTACTGTTGTCCATAAAATTCAGCTACTTTGACCCATTTCATATAGTGTAGAGTTTTAGCAAGCAGATTTCTAGCAAACCAGTTCAGAATAACTTTCAAGGTGTGAGTCCAAAAAAAATAATATATTTTCATTCTTTTTCCTTAATGGAAGTGAATTTTCTGAGTATGCTTTTTGCTCTGTGGGCAGCTTCAATCTCTGGCATATTGACCACAATATAAGAGAGAAGGACTTCTATGAGCTGATATAAGTCTTTTATATATGTAAATTACGAGCTCAAAATAATTGTAACTGATTCTCATTCCTCTATAACAGTCAGGTTCACCCTGAGTTTAGGGACATATGCATTAGGTTGTCAATACTGGGATGAACAGACCAGGCTCTCAGATCATGAGGTCCTATTATTATTATTATTATTATTATTATTATTATTATTATTATTATATATACAGGATTTTATTCTTTTTGTCGTGTCAGGAGCAACTTGAGAAACTGTAAGTCGCTTCTGGTGTGAGAAAATTGGCCGTCTGCAAGGACGTTGCCCAGGGGACGCCTGGATGATTTGATGTTTTTATCATCTTTGTGGGAGGTTTCTCTCATGTCCCCGCATGAGGAGCTGGAGCTGATAGAGGGAGCTCATCCGCCTCTCCCCGGATTTGAACCTGCAACCTGTCGGTCTTCAGTCCTGCCGGCACAGGGGTTTTACCCACTGCGCCACCGGGGCAGCATAACTTCCTTTTTTCAAAACTTAATAAAAACCCATTGTATGAATCAGAATTTTTTATTTTTATTTTATAATGTAGGCACATACCTAAAGTTTTGTTTTACGTAGTTTTGAAGATCAAATTAGGTAGGTGACGTCCTCCATCCTCCATACACTGAGTAAACCGATTTCTGCCATTTGTCATGACTCTTGCCAGCATAGCAGGCGTTATGTTGGCAATTTCTTCCTGGATGTTGGTCTTCAAATCTTGTAGGGTCCTTGGACGGTTCACATAAACACGGGATTTCAAAAAAACCCATAGAAAAAAATCACAAGCGACCAAATTTGGAGAGTGGGCCAGCCACTCCAAATCCACTCGAAAAGTAGGCCTCAATGGCAAAAGCACGCTCCTCACTGTTCCAACACATGATGGCGACTGAACTGTGTCAGGACAAAACTTTATACTCCCGCCTCTCGAACGAGACCACTATCGCTCCGCTACGTCTTCAACCGACTGAATGGTGCGCATTTTCAAAAAGGAAGTTATGCTGCCTCACCCTGTATATCCCACCACCATTTCCCAAAAGGGACTTGGGGCAGCTTACAAAGCACGTTATAGTGCAGCAGAATATACAAAATATATAAACAATAATAATAATACACTTTATTTGTATTCCGCTCTATCTCCCTGAGGAGACTCAGAATGGATTACAGTATACACATATACAGACAAACATTAAATTCCTTTAATACAGTAACAATAATGATACACAATACAGAAAAAAGGCAAAAGTTTCCCTTTCCATCTCCGATATCTGAAGGCGATGCTCAATTCTGGTCACGGGGAGGTGCTCGTGTTCCATTTTTCCATGCTAAGGAGCCTATTGTCTGTAGATCCTCCTGGTCATGTTTTGAGGCTAAAATTCAAGGCTAAGGAGGAGCATGATGATGATAAATGGATAATGGGTTCCAGTGGGGAGGGATGAGGTATAAAGAATATGCTTTCCATATCAGACAAGGAACTCAGTTGAATGTTCCCTGCTTCTCGGTTCTCACAGATTACCTTCTGTTGGTGTGTTAATCTCTTTTTTTTTCTCCATCTGCACTCCCAAATTAGGGTTCTGGAAATGGAAAGTATGTGTGCTTGCACGTAATTATTTTAAGGCAAATTTTGATCAATTTGCGAAACAGATTCACACTGTTCAATTTCAGAAAGTAAACCACAGATGGTTCTTTTTATAGTAAACAATTTCCAAAAAATCCCAGGATCTAGAAAAACATGAATCAGAATATGTCTTCTACATTGCAGATTTCTAATGTTTGAGAATTGTCCTCACTAGTTTTATAGATATTGCATCAATAGGAGCATAGTGTCTAGATCTAGGGAAGTAATGCTACCCCTCTATTCCGCTTTGGTTAGAGCACACCTGGAATATTGTGTCCAATTCTGGGCACCACATTCAAGAGAGATATTGACAAGCTGGAATGTGTCCAGAGGAGGGTGACTAAAATGATCAAGGGTCTGGAGAACAAGCCCTATGAGGAGCGGCTTAAGGAGCTGGGCATGTTTAGCCTGAAGAAGAGAAGGCTGAGAGGAGTATGATAGCCATGTTTAAATATGTGAGAGGGAGCAAGCTTGTTTTCTGCTTCCTTGGAGACTAGGAGCGGAACAATGGCTTCAAACTACAAGAGAGGAGATTCCATCTGAACATGAGGAAGAACTTCCTGACTGTGAGAGCCGTTCAGCAGTGGAACTCTCTGCCCTGGAGTGTGGTGGAGGCTCCTTCTTTGGAAGCTTTTAAGCAGAGGCTGGATAGCCATCTGTCAGGGGTGATTTGAATGCAATATTCCTGCTTCTTGGCAGGGGGTTGGACTGGATGGCCCATGAGGTCTCTTCCAACTCTTTGATTCTATGATTCTATATGCCCCTTGTTGGAAAACACAACAAAACTTGCTGTCTAGACTGATGTTATGGTGAGCACTCCAAGCTGGGTGCAACATAATTACTACTCTTTCTATCAACATAGTATGAAGAATTTTCTCTGGGGTTTGGCTGTTAGACATATACATCTCTACACTTTATTGAATTGCTGCTGTTGTGTGTTTTCAACCGTCTTGTTTCATTATGTTGTGGTAGTAACTCAAAGCCAGTGAAACTGAATTGTGTGCTTACTTGGGGCACTTCCTTCTTAAGAGCACAGGACTAAAAGTCAGGGAAGTTTTCCGCTCAACTTTTATCGCATTTTTTGTCAAATTTTATCACATTTGTGGATGATTCTCTCTCATCTCTTTTAGGTTTTGAAACGTCAAGGATATGATGAAGCCTGTGATATTTGGAGTTTAGGGATCCTCCTCTACACAATGTTGGCAGGGTAGGTTACAGCATCCTTTCTGTTTCATTAACAGTAGAGTTACAGTCCTCTGTGCTTATTGAATTTGCATCCTACATTTCATCTAAGGCAGCGTTTCTCAGCCTGGGGATCGAGACCCCTGGGGGGATCGCGAGGGGATGTCAGAGGGGTTGCCAAAAGACCATCAGAAAACACAGTATTTCCTGTTTGTCATGGGGCTTCTGTGTGGGAAGTTTGGCCCAATTCTATCATTGGTGGGGTTCAGAATGTTCTTTGATTGTAGGCGAACTATAAATCCCAACAACTACAACTCCCAAATGTCAAGGTCTATTTTCCACTAACTCCACCAGTGTTCACATTTGGGCATATTGAATATTCATGCCAAGTTTGATCCAGATCCATCATTGTTTGAGTCTACAGTGCTCTCTGAATGTAGGCGAACAAAAACTTGAAAACGCAAGGTCAGTGCCTACCAAACCCTTCCAGTATTTTCTGTTGGTCATTGGAGTTTTGTGTTCCAAGTCTGGTTCAGTTCCATCATTGGTGGAGTTCATAATGCTCTTTGATTGTAGGTGAACTATAAAACCCAGCAAGTACAACTTTCAAATGACAAAATCAATCCCCAGTCCCAAATTTGGTCGTATCAGGTATTTGAGCCAAATTTGGTCCAGTCAATGAAAATACATCCTGCATATCGGATATTTACATTATGATTTATAACAATAGCAAAATTACAGTTATTTATTTATTTATTTAAAACATTTATATTCTGCCCTTCTCACCCCAAAGGGGACTCAGGGCGGAGCACAGCATATACATGGCAAACATTCAATGCCGGGACACAGATTCACATACAATATATAAACATTAAAAAACATTTATTAAGATATTAAAATACATGGTTTAAAACCGTCCTAGTCATCCGCGTGAAATCATTGGCCCGGTCATCTTTCCTATTGCCGCTTTATTGCCCTGTCCCGAAAGCTCGGTCCCACAGCCAACTTTTTACCATCCTTCTAAAGGACAGGAGAGAGGGGGCCGACCTGATCTCACCAGGAAGGGAGTTCCATAGCCGGGGAGCAATCACCGAGAAGGCCCTGTCTCTTGTCCCCACCAATCGTGCCTGTGACAATGGCGGGACGGAAAGCAGGGCCTCCCCAGAGGATCTTAATCTCCGTGATGGTTCATAGGGGGAGATGCGTTCGGACAGGTTATGAAGTAGCAATGAAAATTTTATGGTTGAGAGTCACCCCAACATGAGGAACTGTATTAAGGAGTCATGGCATTAGGAAGGTTGCAAACCACTGGTCTGAGGAGTCTATAAGTGGACATTCCTGGTCCTGCTTCATCTCCCTTTTGTCCTCTTAAGAATTCTGTAAAGTAGGCCAAATAAGTGATAGTCACATGAGCTTCAATTGATTAATAGGTTGAGTAAGTTTGAATCTGGGAACAATATGCCTAATAAAGCAAGAACGTTATTTCTCTCCTAAGTTGGTGCTGTTGGACTACATTAATTCCCAGTCAGTAATGACTACTTGAAAGTTAGGAGAAGGCGTTTTAGGATACTTCTGTGTGATAACAAGTTTTGCTTTTGAGAGGCATTCCTTCCTGTATGCAAAGTGTGCACCTAACAGATCGACATGAAATCTAGAGCAGAGACTTAAAAGCAGCAGAATAAAACCAGAGACAGAGAATAACAACAGTGCAAAAGATCATTGTTCTAAGACTAAAAGGCCTTGTAAAATGAAGAAGACTTTCCTTGAGATATGATAGCCATGTATAAATATGTGAGAGGAAGCCACAGGGAGGAGGGAGCAAGCTTGTTTTCTGCTTCCTTGGAGACTAGGACGCGGAACAATGGCTTCAAACTACAAGAGAGGAGATTCCATCTGAACATGAGGAAGAACTTCCTTACTGTGAGAGCCGTTCAGCAGTGGAACTCTCTGCCCTGGAGTGTGGTGGAGGCTCCTTCTTTGGAAGCTTTTAAACAGAGGCTGGATGGCCATCTGTCAGGGGTGATTTGAATGCAATATTCCTGCTTCATGGCAGGGGGTTGGACTGGATGGCCCATGAGGTCTCTTCCAACTCTTTGATTCTATGATTCTATGACCCCAAGAAGAACAACTGAAAGTTGTGGATGCTATTACTGAAAAGATTTTTCTGTTAGCCATGTGTTATGTCTCCTTGGGGTATCCCAGGGAATGTCTTTGAGGGTTCTGTGCAGACTAGGACACTAAGATCATCTGGGGAGCCCTGCTCTCTGTCCCGCCTGCATCACAGGCGCGCTTGGCGGGGACGAGAGACAGGGCCTTCTCAGTGGTGGCCCCTCGGCTGTGGAACGCCCTGCCTGCAGATATCAGATCGGCCCCCTCCCTGCTGGCGTTTCGGAGGAAAGTGAAGACCTGGCTGTTCGAACAAGCATTTGATTAAACAGTGTAATTGAACATAGGAATACGGAATAATGGATGATGAGACTGGATTCTGATTTTACTGTTGAGGCGCTAATGATTGTTATACTGATGTTTAATTATTTATGTTACAATTGTTTTTAATTGCCCTATACTTGTCTCGTGATGTTTTGTATCGATGTTGTTCACCGCTTTGAGTCGCACGAGGGCTGAGAAAAGCGGTATATAAATAAAGTAAATAAATAAATAAATAGGTGGGAGGGGAAAGTCTTTGAGGTCATTTAGCCCCAAAGCAGGTAGGACTTCAAAAGTTAATATCACAGTTTGAACTGGAACCAGAAATAGACCCAGCACAGATGGAAAAGCACTAGCTTCATATTATTTCCCCCAGTTAAGACTCTTGGCACCCTCTTTGTTGCATCTGATATTTTTTTTAAAGGATTTTATTATATTTTCCATAGTACAACGAAAGAGTGAGAACAATAAGGGTGAAAGAAAAGAGAGGAAATGTAGAAAAAGTGTAATAAAATCAAAAAGAGAGAGGAAAAGATAAAAAAAATTAAAAATTAAAAGAAATCCAAAAAATTAAAAAGAAATAACATCCAAAAAGGAAACACCGACAAAAAAGAAAAAAAACTAAACTAAAAATTGACTTCCAATCCATCTTCTTGGACATTGTCTTTTTCTCATAAAAGTTTTGTACTTAAAAAAGATTGTCTCTCGTGTTTTTTAATCTTGCAAATTTTCTAGATAGTCATAGAGAGGATCCCAATTTGTCCTGTTTAAAGTATTACCTGTGTTTTTCTTCAACTAAAAAGTCAATTCATCCATGTCCTTTATTTCTCTGATTTTTTCGATCCACTCTTCCATTCTCTTGCAAAAACAATCCTAGCGGCTGTCGTAATATATGTAAAAAGTTTATTTTCTTGTTCATTTAATTGTAAATCCAGATCTCTAAATCCTAATAGATAATACTCTGGTTTTTTCGTAAAGTTCTTTTTAAGAATCTTTTGTGCTTCTTCATGAATCTTTGTCCAAAATTTAATTGCTACCTGATATTTTTGGACTGTTTTCAAAGATGGACTATTGCAAAGAAGTGGCAACTGCTGCTTTGCATGGGTTGCTGGCTAGTCATCCTTCCCGACATTGACCAGATTTTAACTTGCTTCGTTTCACCAGAGTTTCAGCTGCAGAGCATAGCCAGAAAGAGATCCTCCTTTCTGCAAAAGCCAGGGAAGGCCTGCCACACCCTTCGGTTGGGTGTCCCGGAACGGCAGTTGCCGCTAGATGGCAGCATTTTTCTTGAGTCCGTGAGCAGCTTTCTCCTCCTTTTTATAGAGAAGAATGTGGAGCCAGAATCCCAGTTAGTCTGGGAAGAGGCAGAAGGTAGTGGTCTGAGAAATGCTTGGCATGAGGGGAGCAGTTAGGAATGCTGAAGGTATTTTTTTCCATCCAGGGTTCACTAAAAGCAGGTGGACACAACTATTGCTTCTGGGTAGGATCCAGTGATGACATCAGTGGGCCATTGGGACTCAGAAAAATGAAGCAATGTGGCCTAGGAGCTGCTTCAGGACCACAAAGCAGATACATTTTCCAACCACGACAGAAAAATGTGCTAAAGTGTTTATTAATGAAATCTCAGTACAGTTTTGAGTAGCTTGTACATGCAGGTGAGATGATATATAATCACAAAAACAACTACTACTGATTTTAGGGCCAGGCTCATGTAGCTTCAGTAATTAGATTTACATTCTTCAGATTTTAACAGATGAATTGGTCTCGGTGTTGCCCAGAGACGGTTTTAAGTAATTACTTGGCCAGCATCAAGTGGAAATAATAGCCAGTCTAACAGTATTTGGAATCCTTTGATATTTGATACTTGTAAAGAAGCCTCACCTTACAACCCGCCCTCCACATTTGACAATTCTGGATAACTCCCAGAATTGCAGTGTTTCTCAACCTTCCTCATGCCGCGACCCCATTATTCCCCATCCTCATGTTGTGGTGACCCTCAACCATAAAATTGTGCTTTAGGCATATTGTTCCCCAATTCAAACTTAGTCAACCTATTAGTCAATTAAAGCTCATGTGACTATCACTTATCTGGCCTACTTACAGACATGAGGATTTTTTTTTTGTCATGTCAGGAGCGACTTTAGAAACTGCAAGTCGCTTCTGGTGTGAGAGAATTGGCCGTCTGCAAGGACGTTGCCCAGGGGACGCCTGGATGATTTGATGTTTTTATCATAATTGTGGGAGGCTTCTCTCATGTCCCCACATGAGGAGCTGGAGCTGATAGAGGGAGCTCATCTGCCTCTCCCCGGATTCGAACCTGCGACCTGTCGGTCTTCAGTCCTGCCAGCACAGGAGTTTAACCCACTGAGCCACCGGGGGCTCCAGACATGAGGATAAAGGGGGGAAAGAAGGAGGATCAGGAATGTCCCCTTAGACTCCTTAGACCAGTAATTCTCAGCCTTCCTAATACTGTAACCCCTTTAATACACTTCCTCATGTTGTGGTGACCCCCAACCATAAAATTATGTTTGTTTCTTACTACTTTATAACTGTAATTTTGCTACTGTTATGAATCGTCATGTAAATATCTGATCTACAGGATGTGTTTTCATTCACTGGACCAAATTTGTCACAAATACCCAATACGCCCAAATTTGAATAGTGGTGGGATTGGGAGGGGGCTTGCTTTAAATTGGCTGTCCTCCTTTCTTCACAGCCATGGACAGCGAGTGGAGAGGGGCGGCCTGGTCTCTGAGAGGTTCCCTCTATCTTGTGGGGTTCCTCAGGGGGCCATTATCTCCCCTCTGTTGTTTAACATCTATATGCGACCACTTACTCAGCTGGTCCGAGGTTTTGGGCTTGAGTGTTACCAGTACGCTGATGACACTCAGCTTGTGCTGAAGATGGAAGGCCAACCGGACTCTATACCCAATTATTTCCATCAGTGCCTCGAGGCCATTACTGGATGGCTGCGTTCCAGCAGATTGAGGGTGAATCCAGCAAAGAGATCCTATGTCTGGGTCAACCGGGCAGTGGGGATATCCAGCTGCCTACCCTGGATGGCGAGGCGCTAGCCCAGGTCTCTGCCGTTAGCAGAACCGCCTTTTTTCATCTGTGGCAGGCTAGACGGCTGGCCCCCTACCTGTCCAGGGACGACCTAGCTACGGTGATCCAGGCTACGGTCATCTCAAGACTGGACTACTGTAACACCCTTTGGCCTTCCTCTGTCGGTGATCCGGAAGCTCAAGTTGGTACAAAATGCAGCTGCTCGGCTTCTTGCAGGAATTCAGATAAGATGCCATATAACACCAATCTTATTACAGCTGCATTTGTTACCAATTGAGCACCGGATCACTTTCAAAGTGATGGTACTCATCTTTAGGGCCTTGCATGGTCTGGGGCCGATGTACCTGAGGGACCGCCTCACCCCCTACCAACCCCAGAGATCCCTCCGTTCTGAGGACCAAGATCTATTGGAAATTCCCAGTGTCAAGACCTTGCGTCTAACAGCAACCAGACGCAGAGCCTTCACAGCAGTGGCACCATCACTCTGGAATACTCTGCCACCTGAAGTCCGTGCCTTGCGGGACTTATCAGCTTTCCGCAGGGCATGTAAGACATACCTGTTTTGATGGGCTTTTGATCTCTGATATTGCTGTTTTTAAATTGTTTTAAATTGTTTTTAAATTGTGTTCGATTTTAGCCTGTTCTTGTAAGCCACTCCGAGCCCCAGGGGAGTGGCTGCATAGAAGTTCGAATAATAAATAAATAAATAAATAATTTTTGTCATTTGGGAGCTGTAGTTGCTGGGATTTAAGTTCACCTCCAATCAAAGGGCATTCTGAACTCCAACAATGATGGCATTGAACCAAACTTGGCACACAGAATTCCCATGACCAACAAAAAATACTGGAAGGGTTTGGTGGACATTGGCCATGAGTTTTGGAGTTGTAGCTCACCTACATCCAGAGAGCACTGTGGACTCAAACAATGATGAATCTGGACCAAATTTGGCATAAATACTCAATATGCTCAAATGTGAACACTAGTGGAGTTTGTGGAAAATAGACCTTAACATTTGGGAATTGTAGTTGCTGGGATTTATAGTTCACTTACTATGAAAGAGCATTCTGAATCCCACCAATGATAGAACTGGGCCAAATTTCCCACACAGAACTCCCATGCCTTGAAGTGATTCAGCGGCCTCGCATGCTCTCCTTTACCCGCACATGTGCACCATGCTACCATGCGGCGACAACGCCTGCTCTCCCCTCCTCTCTTGGAGTCTCAGAAACAGCCTTTCCCTTGGCTGAGAGGCCAGCCAATCACAGCAGGAGGGGAGCTTTTGGTGGAAGGATTCACTGTCTGTTTCTATAAAAAAGGAAGAGAAGGACAGGCAGAGAGATCTTCTGCCTTTTCTGCCAAAGGGGTTCCTAAGACCATCGGAAATATATGTTTTCTGATGGTCTTTGGAGACCCCTCTGAAACCCCCTCGCAACCCCCCCCCCAAGAGTCCCGACCCCCAGGTTGAGAAATGCTGCTTTAAAGTGTCACGTTTTGAAGCATAATTTCTGTAGTATTTAGTTCCAAGGCCAAAACGTGTGTCTGTTTGCTTGCTGTGCTCTCATGCATCTTCAGGGCTTTGTGTGTTCGTTTCACTTACCAATTTCCTTAAGTTGTTTACCTTTTGATGATAAAAGCAAATTCACAGAGGAGAAGTACTTGGCCTAGAAGAAAGGATATCTGATTAGCCTCACATCATAAATGGCCAGTCTCATGGTGATTTTACTGATATATAAGGCTCTGAACAACTTAGGACCAGGTGAACTGAGGGGGTGCCTTCTCCTGTATCATGCTGCACATTAATTGAGATCTCCAGATTGGGGCCTTCTGGCTCAGTCACCCGCGCATGTACATCTGATAGAAATGAAAAGGACCTTTATGCTTGTGGAGCCTTCCTTGCCTTTCAGGTCCCTTCATCTGCCCCAGTACTGGCTACTCTAATTGGCAGTACTACGTTGGGGTCCTATTTTAGCTGGGCTAGCTGTACATCGAACATACAAAGCATATGTTCTATTATTGAGTTATGATTGTATAATTCCCATCATTGACAAAGAGCAAGTCTCTCTGGAGGTGCTTTTTATGGACTTCCATTTATATTAAAATAGGTTGAGGATCCCTAAAATAGGTTGAGGATCCCTTATTCGAAACGCCTGGGATCAGACGTGTTTTGGATTCTGGAATACCCGTATTGCCATATACATATACAAATGAGACATCTTGGTGATGTGACCCAAGTCTGAACACAAAATCCATTTAGGTTTCTCATACACTTTATACGCATAGTATAATGATAATTTTGTACAATATTTTTAATAATTTTGTGCATGAAATAAAGGATGCTCAACCTTATATGACACATACTACTTGGAACCACTGACACTTTTTCAGTTCAGTTAAGTCAAAAGTTTCCATATACTACTAGTATAGCCAATATATATAATAATAGAATCATAGAGTTGGAAGAGACCTCGTGGGCCATCCAGTCCAACCCCCTGCCAAGAAGCAGGAAAATTGTATTCAAAGCATCCCTGACAGATGGCCATCCAGCCTCTGCTTAAAAGTCCCCAAAGAAGGAGCCTCTGCCACACTCCGGGGCAGAGAGTTCCATTACTGAACAGTTCTCACAGTCAGGAAGTTCATCCTAATGTTCAGGTGGAAACTCCTTTCTTGTAGTTTGAAACCCATTAGCATCCCAGGCGCCCATCCTCTTTTTGAAGATGACCAGAAAAGTTGACACCACCAGCACCCTAGACCTGTCTGCTTAACAATTTATTTATTCATTTATTTATTTATTTGCTGAATTTGCATACCGCCCTTCTCAGCCCTCAGGCAACTTTCAATGCCCAAAAACACCATAAAACATTTTAAAACATTAAGACAAAATATAAAACCATAACAAGAATATTAAAACATAGATCATTCGCGTCTCTTAATAAAAAACATTGTCCCAACAGTGACAAAACAAAGTTTTCAGAATTTAAGTAGAGGGAAAAAATCTGCAACTTCTATTCTGTGGTGAATCCTTTTAATTTGCCACAAGCAAAAGGCAAGGTGATGGATTAAGTCTTCTTTGCTCTAATTCCATCCTCCCAATACGCAGATGAGCTCCCTCTGTCAGCTCCAGTTCCCCATGCCGGGACATGAGAGAAGCCTCCCACAACGATAGTAAAACATCAAAACATCTAGGTGTCCCCTGGGCAATGTCCTTGCAAACGGCCAATTCTCTCTCACCAGAAGTGACTTGCAGTTTCTGAAATCACTCCTGACACCAAAAAAAAATCCTCCTGATATTTTGGTGTTACTGTTTTGAAATAATTTCAAATTCCTCTCACAGGTATACTCCATTTGCCAATGGGCCCAGTGACACCCCTGAAGAAATCCTTACTCGGATAGGTGGGGGGAAATTTTCGCTCAAAGGAGGGAATTGGGACACTGTTTCCGAGGCAGCCAAGGTAAGGCTATCATATTTTACATTCAAATCAAAAATGTGATGCTGCCACGTAAACCCATTGATACATCTGGAGCTGTAGTTTAACAAAGTATTAACATGTAGTATTACTCTTTGAAAGCAGAGAGAGGTTTGTACCTGGTGATCAAAATAGAGCTGCTTCCAGACAAGCAGGTTGTGGGTCAGATTGTGAGACCAGATCTCAAATTCATATAGCTACTTCTTTTTAAAAAACTATACGGCAGTGATTCCTAACCTGTGGGCTGTCATCCACTGGGGGGTCATGAGACCTAAAATAAGGTCCGCACCTCTAGATTATTAAATATGATTTTCTGTGGGCGAGCAAATGGCGACTACTGGATGGCATATGTTCTGTCTTGGAAACTAGAGCTGATGTGGTCTATCCAATGCAGTTTTCTGAATCGGCACCCCAAATAACCAAACCGAATCTAAAGTTGACCAAAAACTGATTAGTCACCTTTCTGGTACTAATGTTGGGAGAGGTGGGCCCTGTTCGAAGTAGTCCCTGGTCAGAAAAGGGTTGGGAACCACTGCTATACGGTCTTCGGCCCACATTGACATTCCAAACTACCTGTTTATTTTCTGGTCCCAATTCAAGGTGCAGGTTCTTACCTACAAAGGCCTGAATGGTTTGGAACTCACCTACCTGCGCGACCGCATTTCTGTCCACGAACCTACCATATATTCTGGTGTATAAGACTACTTTTTAACCCAAGAAAATCTTCTCAAAAGTCAAGGATCGTCTTATACGCAAGAGTAGTCTTATACGCGGGAGTACGTGGGAGTAGTCTTATACACCGGGGGTCATCTTATAGAGCGGGTGCTGAAAGTTCCAGTCGGATTGGAGAATCTGTGGTTGCTGCATGTTGTGGGGGTGCTCAAAAATGACAGTGGCTGTGTCCCTGTCATATGCAACGACTGTATGAAAGCATTAAGGGTGACGCTGTACAAGTATGGTAGAAGAAAATCCATTCATCAGTATTCGTGGACTTAATGCGGTCCTGATGGTGAGGTGAAGGGGCATCTCACCAGGAAGGTGTAAGTGAAGGGCGGAGCAAGCTGCAGGCTTCCGGGGCACCCGGGGTATGGAAAACAGAGATAAAGTGACTCTGGTCCCAGAAAAACACAACTCTTTTAAATGTCTGGCCCGCCCTTTTATCCTATTACCTTACCTCCTCCTCTGCCTCTCAGATTTCACTCCTGAAGACTGCATTGAAGCGGTGCAGGTGCGCATGTGTGAAATCTGAGAGGCAGAGAAGGGGGTACAGTAATAGGAAAATTACCATATTGAAATCAAATCTGATGCTTTTAAAAATTTTATTTGGTGTGCGTTGGAAGAGGGGTAGTCTTATACAGCGAATGAATATATCCCAAACGCTATATTTTAACTGGAAAAGTTGGGGGTAGTCTTATACGCCCAGTCGTCTTATACGCTGGAATATACGGGTACATGATCTCTTTGATCTTCCGGAGAGGCCCTTCTCTTGCTCCCGCCCCCATCGCAAGCATGACTTGTAGGGACAAGGGAGAGAGCCTTCTCTGTAGTGGCCCCTTGGCTCTGGAATTTGCTCCCCAGAGATATTAGGCAAGCCCCCACCCTGGCAGTCTTTAGGAGGAGCCTGAAAACTTGGCTGTTCCAGTGTGCCTTCAATTATTGAATGTTCAATAATCCCTGACCAAACTCTGCATAAAATGCCCTCAGAAGTACTTTATTTTACTGGTTGTGCAATTAAACCCTGCCTTATCCCCCGGATCCCCTGTCCTGATACATTACATTGCCCTCTCACCCAGTGTTTTAAAATTTTAATCTTTGCAATTGGCCCTGCCCACTGTGATTATTTTCAGTGTTTGAATGTCCTGATTTTATATTGTTGCGCTATTTATTTATATTGGTTTTGTATCTTAGGCTATTTTATTTTCTTATTTTCTGTTGTGATCTTGTGTTATTTTGTTTTACTGTATTGTTGGGCGTGGCCTCATGTAAGCCGCCCCAAGTAATAATAATAATAATAATAATAATAATAATAATAATAATAATAATATTTTTTTTAAAAAAACCTTTATTTGTACCCCGCTACCATCTCCCGAAGGACTCGGTGTGGCTTACAAGAGGCTGAGCCCAAATACAACAATTAAAACAGCAGCAACAACAACAACACAATAACTTAAAAAAAAACAAAGCAATAACATTAACAACACCCAATGATGCAATTAAAAACAATGGCCAGGCCAAGTGTAATAATTAAAATTAAAATTAAAAGTGCTGGGCATGACAAGGTGGGGTGTTTGGAGGGGGATGGGCATGCAGATATCCTGGATCTCTGATAAAGTGCGTTGTGACATAATGCTAGGAGTTTCCTTATTCTGGAAAGGCACACTGGAACAACCATGTTTTCAAGCTCCTCCTAAAGATTGCTAGTGACGGGGCCTGCCTGATGTCCTTAGGGAGAGAGTTCCGAGTCGAGGGGCCACCACCGAGAAAGCCCTACCCCTCGTCCCCACCAATCTCCCCAAGTCCCCTTGGGGAGATGGTGGCAGGGTTTAAATAAAGTATTATTATTATTATTATTGTCACAAAAGCACAGTATGTCACAGCAAATGAGATCTGTATGCTGGATTTCGTATCACAAAATCACGTTGAACACTTCCCAAGTGTGTGATGTATCGGCGAATAATGCTTGCAGATCCCAGTAAGGTGGCCTTCTGCAGCTGTCAGATGGTAATCTTGTCAGCGCTGATTGTGTTTAAGTGCAGGCCAAGGTCTTTAGGCACTGCACCCAGTGTGTCAATCACCACTGGGACCACCATGACTGCTTGAGCCAGAGTCTTTGAATTTCTGCTGCTTCTGTAGTTGGTTTGCTTCCAGTTGCCCTACAGGCCCATGCCCTGGTTGCTCAGCAATGGGTCCTGGTTCCTGTAGCCCACTTGTCAACGAGTGCCCAGGAGAAGCACTCGCCACGGTCCTTATTATCCTGGGTGATGACCAAGCCAGTATAGACTTCTTTAGAGTTTGTTTCACCATATTTAAATGGGTTGGGTGCACTTAGTTCTACTTCTCAGTTGAGATCACTCTGGCTTGGTTGGACCTGCTGGTAGTTTACACTACCGCCAGCACAGCTCTCCACATCATTGAAGTAGTTAAGCCAACGTCAAGGCGGCACCCGATGGGGGGATGATGATGATGACGACGACGACGACGACGATGATGATGATTATTACTATTATTATTATTATTATACCGCATCTGTATTCTTTGAATGCTTCTTATAGGACCTGGTATCAAAGATGCTCCATATTGATCCCCATCAGCGCCTGACTGCCAAGCAAGTCCTCCAGCATCTGTGGATAACCCAGAAGGACAGGTTGCCGCAGAGCCAGCTGAGTCACCAGGATGTACAACTTGTCAAGGTACAAACCTATGGCTGAACTGGAATGGTTTATGTGTCTCCTCATTGTAGGTAGCATATTGACTATAGTAAAACCTGGTCACTTTCCGCATCTGATGATCTTTAAGAAACATTCCTAGTGGAGGTTTAGTTCAGTAAGATTCTTTTATTCGTACCCTAAACTTCTAAAAGCATTTCATTAGGTGTTGCATGCCTTTAAGTCATTTCTGACTTATGGGAACTCTAAAGAGAATGACAAATCATGAGATTTTCTTGGCAAGGTATGTTCAGGGGAGGTTGCCTCTGCCTCTCTCTCTCAAGTTGAGAGAGTGTGACTTGTCTAAGCTCACCCAAAGTATTTCTGGGGCCGAGTGGGGATTTGAACCCTGGGCTCCAGAGTTACAATTTAATACAATGATTGTCCCCAAAAGTATCCCAACAACACAGTAAAGGACGATTACCTTGACATTTTTCCAGGAGTGTAGTGAGGTAGTCTTTGTGCTCCTCAATGTTTGACCGGCAGAGCTTGTTATCTGTCAATTACCTTTATGTATTGTCGAAGGCTTTCATGGCCGGAATCACTGGGTTGTTGTAGGTTTTTTTGGGCTATATGGCCATGTTCTAGAGGCATTCTCTCCTGACGTTTCGCCTGCATCTATGGCAAGCATCCTCAGAGGTAGTGAGGTCTGTTGGAAGGCTGAGAGGAGACATGAAGAAGAGAAGGCTGAGAGGAGACATGATAGCCATGTATAAATATAAATATGTGAGAGGAAGCCAGAGGAAGAGAGGAGATTCCATCTGAACATTAGGAAGAACTTCCTGACTGTGAGAACCGTTCAGCAGTGGAACTCTCTGCCCTGGAGTGTGGTGGAGGCTCCTTCTTTGGAAGCTTTTAAACAGATGCTGGATGGCCATCTGACAGGGGTGATTTGAATGCAATATTCCTGCTTCTTGGCAGGGGGTTGGACTGGATGGCTCATGAGGTCTCTTCCAACTCTTTGATTCTATGATTCTATGATATAGCCCGAAAAAACCTACAACAACCCAATTACCTTTATGATCATAAAAAGGAGAGCCAGTCCCACCTTTCCAGTTCCATCCTGTCACAGATAGATTCTGGATAGCACTTTAGCACTCCAGCTAAATTGCTTTTGGTGACGAAGGTTAGTGAATTTCTGCCTGGCTAGCAGTGTCTTTATGACCGAGGTCTATTTTAAGTGTTTGTGGTGTGGCGTGGGGAAAGTTCCTTTCATTTATTCAGGGGGGAACACCTGAATAGTCAACTAAATGGCCATGCCAATTAACTAAGGAGCCTGATCAGGATGAATGGCTCTGAATTGCCTAGTATTTCAAATGCTAGTGAAACGCTAGGTGGATCTTTTGCCTCCCCCGAGAATCACAGACTGCCTCGATTTGTGTCGGGATTTTGGATGGAGGGGCTTTGGCTTTCCGTGCTCTCACAATAAGTTGGCTCAATGTGTATCTTCCTCTGTATTGTGCCATTGATTGTGACAGGGTATAGAATTGGTTTATGTTCCAAACCTGTCCCAGCAGGGATTCAGGCACACTCCACTTTGAGCACAAGAGCTTCTTCGGTGGAGATTAGTAGAGCCGCCGCTTGGGCCTCTTTGTGTTCTTTCATCAAACTACAGGATTAACAAATTTGCTCCGACAGATGCATCTTTTTTTGGGAAGCCATGGTCTTTATAGTAGAGTGGATCTTTATAGTAGATTGTTCCCTTGCACTGGGGGTGTGGCAACCACTTGTGTAGGTCCAAGCATGAAGGGTTGTCATCCTGCAGTGTTGGAAAACAGAACATTGGTAGGCTCCTTTTCAGCAGTTGCGTGGAGGGAATCCCTCCCATCTTAGTTAGTATCTTTGTGTGGTTCTATGCCACTGGCGGTGTTTTTGTCTTTTTCTTGGAGCTTTGTCATTCCATCACTGGGAAGCAGGGGCTAGCTTTCCCCTTTGTGGTGCTGAAGATAATTGATGATTATATAGTTTATATTACTAATAATATTGCAGTATAGTGGTATAGTACAATATAGTAAGTAATATGTAATACTAATATTGTGCTATGCTAATAATATAATATATTGTATGTACATATAACTTGTAAGCCACTCTGAGTCCCCTTCGGGGTGAGAAGGGCAGGGTATAAATGTTGTAAATAAATAACAAACAACATGAACAACAACATCCATCAGAAAGAGGATCTTCTGAAGAATTACCCTAATAATATGGAATGGCCTTCCACTGTATGGTTTACTAGAGAATCTGATGAGAATGGAAGATTGTTTGATAGAAAGAACAAATGCTGTCATTTCTATTTGAAATGTAGGATTTAAAGTAATATATTCAATAGGTTTAAAATCTAACAAAAATAGAAGAGAACACAGAAATCCCACGTCAAGCTATTTATGCTTTTAGCGCAGTATTGCCTACCCTGACAGTGCTATGTTGGGTGTGGATAGGCAATCAAGTGTTACTAGATTGAATGTCCCTAGCTATCATAACCAATTATCAGGAATTCTGGGGGTTGTAATCCAACAGTGTCTGGAAGTTTGCATGATTCCTACATCTGGTTTACCTCAGGCAAACATCTTTCACTTCAATTGCTACATAAGATCCTTTTAAAATTAGATATGCCAGTGATCGGATGAAAAATGCCTACATGTAAAGCAGATGTTCTACCATTTAGCTATGGGAAAAGAGCAGGTAGATTGGAATTTTATTTATTTATTTATTTATTTATTTATTTATTTATTTATTTATTTGCCATGCTTATATACCGCCTCTCTCAGCCCGAAGGCAACTCGAGGCTGTTTACAATTGGGAGTCAATGTCACCAACAACATAAAATATAATTAAAAACAATAACATATAATATACACCATATAAAAGCAATAGAAGCAATAAAAACCATAAAACACAAGTCCTCAGCGTCTCATTACTAAAATCATTTTTCCATCGCATTGTTCAATTGTTCTATAGATCTAGATTAGTCCGTTACACTGCATTTGCAAATGCTTGCTCAAAAAGCCTGGTTTTTACTGTTTTTCAAAATCTTAGGAGGGTGCCGATCTGATATCTCTAGGGAGGGCGTTCCATAGCTGAGAGTATTAGTACTTAATATGAAGGTTCTTGACTCCTGCTCATGTGTGGCAGACAGAATTTGTGTTTATTATATTAGTAGTATTACATTGTATTACAATATTACAATCAATATTATATGTACATACAATATAATTATTAGCATAACACAATATTAGTATTATATATAACTATATTGTACTATAGCACTATACTGCAATACCATTAGTAATATTACATGTAAAAAGGTAAAGGTTTACCCGACATGAAGTCCAGTTGTGTCCGACTCTGGGGTGTGGTGCTCATCTCCATTTCTAAGCCAAAGACTCCTCCAAGGTCATGTGGCCGGCATGACTGCATGGAACACCGTTACTTTCCCGCTGGAGCGGTACCTATTGATCAACTCACATTTGCATGTTTTCGAACTGCTAGGTTGGCAGAAGCTGGGGCTGACAGCAGAAGCTCATGCCGCTCTCCGGATTCGAACCTGCAACCTTTCGGTCAACAAGCTCAGCAGCTCGGTGCTTTAACACAGGGATTGTGGTGCAGCTGGCTGAGTGTCAGCTGCATTAATTTCACTCTGACCAAAAGGTCATGAGTTCAAAGCCAGCCCGGGTTGGAGTGGGTTTCCAACCAATTGTGTAGCCTGTTGTCGACCTTTGCAACCCGAAAGACAGTTGCATCTGTCAAGTAGGAAAATAAAGTACCACCTTAAAAAGTGTGGGGAGCCTAAATTAACTAATTTATGAGGCCATAAAAAGACTCCAGCATGCGGGGAATGCGGAAGTACTTCATCAGTGTCGCAGATGGACGATGAAAGCGACAGCTCCCCTGGCGGCCAGAAAAAGTTAAATAGCCTCTGTCTATGTCTGTATATGTTGTATGTCAAAATTGGCATTGAATGTTTGCCATATATGTGTACACTGTAATCCGCCCTGAGTCCCCTGCGGGGTGAGAAGGGCGGAATAGAAAAGCTGTAAACAAAATAAATAAATAAATAAAATTAACCCACTGCGCCATCGGGGGCTCCCAATGTAATATACAATTATTATATCGTATTATTATTAATATTATATTGGATTACATTATAATATTACTATCAATATTATATGTATATACAATATATTATATTCTTAGCACAGCACAATATTAATATTATATATTACTATATTGTTGCTGAAGTGAGGGGCTCCGAACTGATGACCCAGGAGACATGGTGGAACTGTCTTCCTAGCTCCCCTTCTTCACTCATAGAATCATAGAATCAAAGAGTTGGAAGAGACCTCATGGGCCATCCAGTCCAACCCCCTGCCAAGAACAGGAATATTGCATTCAAATCACCCCTGACAGATGGCCATCCAGCCTCTGTTTAAAAGCTTCCAAAGAAGGAGCCTCCACCACACTCCGGGGCAGAGAGTTCCACTGCTGAACGGCTCTCACAGTCAGGAAGTTTTCCCTCATGTTCAGATGGAATCTCCTCTCTTGTAGTTTGAAGCCCATTGTTCCGCGTCCTAGTCTCCAAGGAAGCAGAAAACAAGCTTGCTCCCTCCTCCCTGTGCTTCCTCTCACATATTTATACATGGCTATCATATCTCCTCTCAGCCTTCTCTTCTTCAGGCTAAACATGCCCAGCTCCTTAAGCCGCTCCTCATAGGGCGTGTTCTCCAGACCCTTGATCATTTTAGTCGCCCTCCTCTGGACACATTCCAGCTTGTCAATATCTCTCTTGAATTGTGGTGCCCAGAATTGGACACAATATTCCAGGTGTGGTCTAACCTAAGCAGAATAGAGGAGTAGCATAACTTCCCTAGATCTGGACACTATGCTCCTATTGATGCAGGCGAAAATCCCATTGGCTTTTTTTGCGGCCACATCACATTGTTGGCTCATGTTTAACTCTCATTATATAGTTCCCTATTCTATCCCAGTTACTGTATGAGTTTGCTCCCATTACAAAGGGTTGAAACGATTTCATTACTGGTAGTGTTTGAGGTTCAAACATTCCAATATTTTTGGTCTCACCTTCTTGCCTTTGACCCTGCTCATTATTGGGTTGCAACACCCAGAATTTTCTTTGAAATTAATTTGGCCCATATTCTGCAAGAGATTTCCAGCCCTTGTTGACATATTTATTATTTCGGTTACTTCTACCCTGCCCTTCTCACCCCGAAGGGGACTCAGGGCGGCTTACAAAGGCACAATTCGATGCCGGAATCATATAACTGTAGTAAACAAATAGCAGCAATTAACAATTAAACAACAGTTCCTGCATTACAACAATAAAACCAATACAAACCCAATTACTCCTCATTGACGGTCAGCGTTCGCTATCTCATAGTCCAAATTCCAATTCCACATTGTCAGTCCTGTCAGTCCTAATCGTCTGATTGTCCTTATCTAGTTGTCAGATTGCCCAAAGGCCTGGTCCCACAACCACGTCTTTACTTTCCTCCTGAAGGAGAGGAGGGATGTTGATGCCCTAATTTCCCGGGAGTGAGTTCCACAGGTGAGGGGCCACCACTGAGAAGGCCCTGCTCCTCGTCCCCATCAACCTCACTTGTGATAGCGGTGGGGTCGAGAGCAGGGCCTCCCCAGATGATCTCAAACTCCGGGGTGGGACGTAGAGGGAGATGTGTTCGGACAGATACACTGGACCGGAACCGTATAGGGTTTTGTAGGTCAAATCCAGCACCTTGAATTGTGCTCGGAACTGAACCGGCAGCCAGTGGAGCTGACACAGCAGGGTGGTGGTGTGCTCCCTGTATGACGTTCCAGTGAGTAATCTGGCTGCCGCTCGCTGGACCAGTCGAAGTTTCCGAACAGTCTTCAAGGGCAACCCCATGTAGAGTCCATTGCAGTAGTCTATTCGGGATGTAACAAGAGCGTAGCCACTCTCTCCTAGAGCCAGTAACTAGACAGGTGGATAAGGGTGCCAAAATGCAAGGGACCATCATTCCAGTGACTGTCGACAACCGTAGACCCTTTGGACTCTTCGCTGCAAGGCTTTCTTTAAAAATCTAGGGCTGCTTTGCAATTATGCGGGCCTTCTGCCAAAAACGGCATGCAAAAGAGAGTAAGTGTTCTGGTTTCCTGATAGTATGTGTACATATGCAAATGCAAGTAGTTAACACATGTGTTAATCATGTTTCAGAGCTTATCGTGGAGTGAAATGTCCCTATCTTTTTTTCATGCTTTTAATATGAACTGGGGTGGGGAAAACATATGTGTGCTTTTGGGGGGAAACACCCATATCTTTTCTCTCTTTATTTAGGGTGCCATGGCTGCCACATACTCTGCACTGAACAACTCCAAGCCAGGTCCCCAGCTGAAACCCATTGAGTCCTCCTTCCTAGCGCAGAGGCGAGTCAAGAAGCTCCCATCGAACTCCAAATGAGAACTCAAGAGGAACTTCCGCAAGATTTTTAAAAACATCTCCTGGTTCCAATATCTGCAAATAAAGGAATCTTACAATTCAGATTTTTAAAAAAGCTGGCTTTAGTGGAAGTGAAAAATTTTGGGACAGACTTATGCAAAAAAGATAAGCTGATAGCAAAGATCTATAATAAACTACTTGGATGGGCCACTGAAACAGAAGAGATACAAAATTGCATGATAAAATGGGCAAGGAATACTGGTAGATCTATTAAATTAACGGAATGGGAGCAAATTTGAACCAGAAAATTAAAATACACTTTCCGTCAGATTTGAAGGAAAATTGGCTCAAAATGATACATAGATGGCATATGACTCCAAAAAAATAATAATGTACAAGAATACAGCAATTAAGTGTTGGAAATGTAAAGCGCATATGAAGGTTCTTATTACCATATGTGGTGGACCTGTGAGAAAACAATTACATTTTGGAAATTGATACATAGAGAATGCCAGAAGATAAAAATAACAAGCTTCCCAATGAAACCTGAATATTAATTTTAATAAAGACATTTTATTTACATATTTATCAACTGCGGCGAGAACAATCTTTGCAAAATATTGGAAAACAATTGAGATACCAACCAAGGAACAGTGGCTAAACAAAGTAATTGAAATAAAAGACATGAATGATGAAAAATACAGGAAGATACATTAAGATGGCAGATTGGAGGACCTTTGAGGAATATATAAATATTGGAAGCTAAGGAAGAGAGACAGAGCCTAAATTGAAGAAGCAGGAGAAAGCGGAGAAGGACAATTTTGTAAATCTCTTTTTTTCTTATTTTATAGAACTAAAGAGACTAAGATAGCATAAGGGAACGCGAGGAAGAAGAATGAAAGACAACATTCCCCTTTCCTTTTTTTTTCTTCTTTTTTTCTCTTTTCTTCTCTTCCCATCTCGCCTCCCTTATTTTCTATATATATATATCCTTTTCTACAATACAACCTTCCTTTTTTTCTTTTTATTGTATCAATGTAACAAAAAGTCTATTAATAAAAAATATTCAACAAAAAAAAGAAGCTCCCATCGACCACACTGTGACATGGAATTGGTGGGTGTTCCCCAGGCCCCCAACCAGTGCTACTTCTCTAACAAACTTACTTGGATGTCCACGGGAACAGGAGATGTCGTCCCAGCAAGACGCCATTTTGAGGCACCTTCTCAAATGTATATCCAGGGCCAAGTGCCTCCAGAAAGACTAGCTCTTGCTCTCCCTCTGGATTCCCCTCTTTGTTTTTGTTTTCACTGTACAGAGAAATTATTTGTAAAGGGATCTGTATCATGCATCTGAGAAGCTGAACACACATCAATCTACGGCTTGTTGCCATGACATAGCCGGTCTCTAGCCTGCAAACAAGCAAGCGTTGGATGAATTGATGCCTCTGAAATGCTAACCTGGTACAGCAGGAACATGTTCTGTCCTTCCCTCTCGCCAATCTTTCCAACAGAGACTGTTTTTGTGCAGGATAGCCTCTGTTTCTACAAATGCTCTCTCTTTACCTAATATATGTGATCTCATGTGCACCGGCATTTTCATTTCTTGTTCCCAATCCTTGAAGCTATGTGGCTGGAATCCAAAAGAATCTTGAGCAAATGTCTCTTTTCTTTAATAATAATCATAATCCTAATCATATTTTTATTTCTCCTTCCTGACCTTTAGAAAGAGAACAAAGAGTTGGTTATGGAATCAAGCCTTTGACTAGTAAAGTAATAGAGTCCTAGAAGCAAATTTGGAATATGTGCAATTGACATTTGGAATGCTTGGATCATGTGATTTTAATGTTTTTATTTGGTTTTGAATGTTTTAAATGTCCTTTTATGAGGAATTGTCCTATTGATTTTATGCTTACTTGTTGTTTTTTTCATGTCAGGAGTGACTTGAGAAACTGCAAGTTGCTTCTGGTGTGAGAGAATTGGCCGTCTGCAAGGACGTTGTCCAGCTGACACCCGGATGATTGATGTTTAACCATCCTGTGGAAGGCTTCTCTCATGTCCCCACATGGGGAGCTGGAGATCGACAGACAGGAGCTTATCCCGCTCCCCGGATTCAAACCGCCAACCTGTCGGTCAACCAGTCCTGCCAGCACAAGGGTTGGACCCATTGTGTCACTGGGGGCTCAACAATACAGTTAAAAACACATCATAATAAAACATATAAAATACATATATCGAAACTTATTTCTATGAAATATTAAAATACAATAAATACAGGATATGAGTTTAAAATTCGTAGTTAAAAATTGACTGGATAGGCCTGCCGGAAATGATAAGTCTTCAATTCCGGCAGCTGATTTAGCTGCCAGATACCTTTCGGCAGGTCATTCCACAGTCTTGGGGAGGCTGATGAAAAGGTCCTCTGGGTGATGATTGCCAGTCAGGTTCTGGCAGGCTGGAGCAGACATCCTCAGAGGACCTCAGTGTCCTAAACAGAAGATTGTACAGGGGAAGGCAATCCCGGAGGGAACCTGGACCCAAACCATGTAGGGTTTTAAAAGTCAAAACCAACACTTTGTACTTTACCCAGAAACTAATTGGCAGCCACTGGAGTGGCTGCAGTATGGGTGTAATATGCTCACTACTGGATGTTCTTGTAACTAGACCTGCTGCCATTTTTTCAACCAACTGAAGTTTCCAAACTTGATACAGAAGTAGCCAAATATAAAGCATATTGCAGAAGTCCAATCGTAAGGTTACTGGCGCATGCACTACCTTCTTTTAGGTCCTCAAATTCTAGGAAGGGGTGCAGCTGGTGTATCAGCCAAATCTGGTAGCAAGCACTCCTGACTTCACTACTTCCTGGCCTGACATTTGGAGGGACAGACCCAGGAGTCCCCCAAGCTTGGAATCACACTCTTTCAGAGGGAATGTAACCCTGTCCAGGACTGTTTGACACATCTCCATCCCCAGATTATGACCCTTGATAGCAAGCATCTCTGTTTTGTCTGGATTCAATTTCAGTTTGTTTTTCCTCATCCAGCCCATTACTGTCTTCAGGCATTCATTCAGAGGAGACATGCTATCATTAGCTAAAGCTGCTTTTGAAGCCATGGAGAAATATATTTTAGTTTTGTTTGGTTTTTTGGGGGGGTTTTATGGTCGTGTCAGGAGCGTCCTGTTGTGAGAGAATTGGCCGTCTGCAAGGACGTTGCCCAGGGGACGCCCGGATGATTTTTGATGTTTTTTTTATCATCCTTGTGGGAGGCTTCTCTCATGTCCCCGCATGAGGAGCTGGAGCTGACAGAGGGAGCTTATCTGCCTCTCCCTGGATTTGAACCTGTGACCTGTCAGTCTTCAGTCCTGCCGGCACAGGGCTTTAACCCACTGCGCCACCAGGGGCTCCATATATTTTAGTGTCATCAGCGTATTGATAGCATTCTGCCCTATGCATCTGGATGATCTCTAAGCAGTTTCATGTAAACATTAAAAAGCATTGGGGATAGAATGGTGTCCTGTGGGATGCTACATAACAGCTCCATTTTTGAGGAGCAGTTATCCCCAAGCACCACCATCTAGAATCTGCTTGAGAGGTACAACCAGAACCACTACAAAACAGTGCCTCTGATTTCCAAATTCCCCAGGCATTCCAGAAAGATACCATGGTCGATATTATCAAAAGCCGTTGTGAGATCTAGATGCACCAAGAGGGACACACATCACTTGTCGGTGCTGAGACTGAGATCATCCACTAAGGGATCCATAGCAATCTCAACTCCATATCCTGCTCTGAAGCCAGTTTGAAATGGGTCAAGTGAGTGCCATCCAAGACTGCCTGGAGTTGGAGGACAACTGCCTTCTCAATCACCTTGCCCAAAAAAAGGGAGGTTGGAGACTGGTCTGTAATTATTAAAGTCTAGGGATACAAGGAGGGCTTTTTCAGCAATGGTCTAACTACTACTTTTAAGCAAGCTGGAAAGTTTGCTTCCCTGAGAGATGCATTAATAATGTGTTGTATTTGAGATCAAATTGCACCACCTACCTGGATGACCAGCCAAGAAGGACAGGGATCAAGAAAGCAGATTGTCTTCCTTATTTGCCCCAACAACTTGTCCACATCAGCAGGACTTGCCAATTGAAACTGACCCAGTGTAATCTCACTCACAGAGTTGCTGGACACTGCGTTACCAACTTCTGCTTCAATGATGATATCCAAGTTGGCTCTTATGCCAGAAATTTTATCAGCAAAATGGTTATTAAAGGCATCACAGTGAGCTGCTGAAGGTTCTAATAATGATTCAGAGGGGAGGGTACTTGAGTTAAATCTCTCACTACTATGAATAGCTCATCTGGACGTGAATTTGCAGACACAATACATGCAGAAAAGAACATTTTCTTCACTGCATGTATTGCTACCTTTAAGAATTATGATGCCCTATTGTCACATAACAGTTGGTTTTCAGCCCTCTGCACTCTAGTCGTCCTTCCCGTTTCATTTTCCTGAGGCTCTCTGTATACCAGGAAGCCTGATTCATAATGGGTTGGAGAGGACGTTTGGAAGCTATTGTATCATTAGCCCTGATTAGATTTTTATTCCATTTATTGACCAGGGATTCAAAAGGATTGTTGGTGATGCCAGTCAGGGAACCCTCTAAGGCAGGCATGGGCAAACTTGGGCCCTCCAGGTGTTTTGGATTTCAACTCGCACAATTCCTAACAGCCTACCTAACAGCCTTCCCTCACCCGCTCACTAATAAAGTACCCGGCTGGGAGGGCCTGACCCCTGATTGGACCACTATCACCTCTCAGCCAAGTCTCAGTAGAGCATGCCAGATCAGCTCTCTCATCTTTGAGGAGGTTGTACATTATGTGTGTGTTTATTTTTAACCTGCCTGAAATTACGTAAGAGCACGGTGAGGTGGGTGGCCTGACGCGCTCTCCCAAGTTCCCCAGACTGGCAGGGTGATTAAAAAGTGAGATGGGTAATAAATGCCTTTCTCTCCTTCCTCTATAAGCGCATATAACCCTGCCATCGCCATATCTTCCTCTGCCCTGTACCACTTATATTGCCCCCCAGTTCCCATATACACTGAATTGAACTCAAACAGTACAGGAACAAACAAGTTGACTAGTCTGGCAGAACTCTCCTCCTGCCATGGGGCGCTTTTTTTTTTTTTTTGGTCATGTCAGGAGCGACTTGAGAAACTGCAAGTCACTTCTGGTGTGAGAGAATTGGCCGTCTGCAAGGACGTTGCCCAGGGGATGCCCAGATGATTTTGACGTTTTTATCATCCTTGTGGGAGGCTTCTCTCATGTCCCGCATGAGGAGCTGGAGCTGATAGAGGGAGTTCATCCGCCTCTCCCCAGATTTGAACCTGCGACCTGTCGGTCTTCAGTCCTGCCAGCACAGGGGTTTAACCCACTGCGCCACCGGGGGCTCCGCCATGGGGCTGCCTTATAGTCAACTACATGGTTCTGCGTAACCCTTTCACTGCTACCCAGTCCTTCAGCTGACTCCCTCACTGCCTGCTGGTGTATCTGTCCCAGAGCAACCAGTATCCATGCAGTGAGCTTGTAAGAGTTTTCACTACACTACAATACACAACATTTCTTCTTAGGCGATCCCTTGTAGCCTGAGGATGATAGTCCTCCATGTCTGGTGTCTTGGCGGTGGGTCCGTAGATGGCTGTGGAGCCCTATTCTTGATCCGCATGTTCTCCTGGAGTGAGAACATCAAAGTTGGCTTGATGCACCTTCCTCTTGGCACGTTTCTCCCTTTCGCCCTCTATTCATGTCTCTTCAAATTCTACAGCACTGCTGGTCACAGCTGACGTCCAGTTAGAGTGCTCAAGGACCAAGGCTTCCCAGTTCTTGGTGTCTATGCCACAGTTTTTCCTGTCCACCAACATTATGTTTCCCATTCTTGAGTTGGAAACAGTAACTGCTTTGGGAGATGGTGATCAGAAACAACATATAACCCAATTAAAATGGAAGAAGAGTTCTTCAAGGTCATAAGGCCTAAACTGCTAGTGGGCCTTGTTCTAGGCTTCTCCTGGCAGGAGCTGCTTTTCTCAAACCCCAGCAGAACCAAACTCCTGGGACAGTGGGCTTGCTTTTTATCTGCTGACTGGATAGTCGACGCTTTACCTGCTGGGCTTGTATTTAGCAGAAGCAAACTCGGGCCTTTTTCCTGCTGGCTGTCTCCTCCGTGGGTAGCTGGGGAGCTCGGCCCAGGTGATAACGGTGGTAAGCTTTTCCATCCTGCCCTCTTTGGACGTCACACTGTTGTGGACATTCTCACCTGCCGCTCTGGGATTATCGTTTTCTATCTCCTTTGATGTAGTTGGCTCCTAGACCCATACCAGGCCACAGCTAACTTCTGAACATGCAATGAGCTTGTAAGAAAATGTTTTTCTCCATGGTGGAAATGTGAAGTTTTCTAGGTGGGAGGAAGGTCTTGTTTTTACAACAAACTATGTCAAATAGCACAACCCAGAGCCTCATTGTGTGAAATGCAAAAAAAAAAAAAAATCAGCTTGGCGCTGTCCTTTTTTATTTAACTGATTCCGTGTCGGGTAACTCAGGGTTTCTGTCTGGCTTTTCAAATAAACATGCCCTGCAATTGAAGTGGTTTTTACTATGAGACCTCATACTCTTTACTCAATCCCTGTCGTTATTTTGGTGTCTCTTTCTATTGT